GGGAATGTGGGAGAGGTGGAACTGCAGCAAGGAAGAATGTGGGGCAGGAGGGACTGAGACAGGGAGGATGTGAGGCAGTGGGATGTGGGACAGGTAGACGGAGGGTGTCTGTATATATCTGTGTGTCTGTATGTATCTGTGTGTCCGTGTATCTCCTCATCTCATGCCCTCTGGAGATGCTGTGGCTGATGGGCTGTGCTGTGTGAGCCCTGTGCTGTGCACTAACACCCCCTTCTTTGCCATTTTCCAGCTTTATCAGCGATGAGAAGTAGCAGCAGCCCCTAGCAATGGGTGATGTTTTAGCGTATGAAGCTGAGTTACTTGGACTAGTGAAAGAGGTTGGTATTCTGTCTTTATTTCTTTACTTTTTTTTTTTTTTTTTTTTTTTTTTTTTTTTTTTTTTTTTTTGTTGAAATGATTCTTGTATGGCAAGATATCTCAGTGTTTGCATTCAGAGCCAGGTATTGTAACTGAGGTCTAAATTCTGGAGTTATTTATCTGGCTAAGCGTTGCTAAACTCTGAAATCATGCTGTCTCTTGTCATGCTCTGTCAGTTCAAAAGGCTCAATGTCCATTAAATGCTAGCAGTAAATTTTCTTTGGTTAAATGAAATTACTGGTTAAACCAAGAGGCATCATTGTTTCAGAGTGGGTGTATTCAGTTGTCTCTAGGATGCAGGAGGAAACTGAGAGACGGTATTTTCCTACCACGAGGTATCAGTTTTTGGTTTATCACTTTGCAGTCTTTGGCATTTATGGACCATCCTGCAGAGAAACTGGCATTTCATTGTTCATTTGTTGAAGCATTAATCACCTGAAAAAGAATTAATCATTTATTGATTATCTTACAAATTTTGTTCTTCTGTTTTTATCTTGTAGTATCTGGATTTTGCTGGATTTCAAGAAACGGTAAAAGAACTTAAAAAGGAATGTAAAATGAAAGGGAAGCCACTATCTAAACCAGCAGATGTTTCCTCAGAAGATTCATTGCATGTTCAGGTAATGCATCATTTACATTTATTTTGAGTTATACTGAAAACAGAGGCCACTAACCGTCCTGTGAGTTACTACAACAGTGAGCTGTCTGAACAGATTCTTGATTATTTGAGGAAATCTCCCAGCAGTCTTCTTCCAGCATGGAAACCTTCAAGTTTAGGGTTGGGCATATATTTTTTTTCAGAACTACACTCATTTTGAACTTAGGGCACCAGTTTTGATTTACACTACTTTAAGTTTTTACTGATATGCTTGAAAATTTGGGCTTTGCTTCTTGTTTTGATGATTGATTCAGGCTCTTAAAAATACTAAAGATACATGATGAAAGAATATTTGTGGGGGTCATTGAATGGTGGGAGATTTTTGAGTAAGACTTTTAATTGGAAGTGTTCAGATGGCACTGGTATTCTTCATTCACTAACCTACTGCTGAGAAAATGTGGCTCTTTTGTGTTTGGATTTTCACTTGGTGCTTTTCTGTTTCACAGGAAGAGATGCTTTCAGCATTTGAGGATGGTGATCAGAAAGTTTTCTTCCAGCTCTGGGAGGAGCATATTTTGTCTTCAGTCCATGACAGTGATCCAGTTGCTCAGAACCTGGAGTTCTATCTCCACATCTACTTTGCCACCTTCCTCTTGAAACAAACAATGGGAAAGCCAGTAAGTTTAGTTCACAATTCAAACCTCAGATTGCTGTTGTCATTTTACTTCATTTATTTATCTTAAGTGTGGATGAGGATGGGATGTTTTCTACGAATCATTCCAAGAACATGTATCTAGTTTTGGCCACAGTTCAAACAGATCCTTTGTATTGTGGAGTACAGAGATGGAAGTTGGAGCTGTCCTTATCCCAAAGTTCCTGAAGTATTTCAACTCAGAAAATACCAAAATGGCAATACTTTCACACTTGTAATTGTAGATCATAGCAGATTCTTACAACACTTACTTTGCTCTGAGTTTGGACTGAAGCTGTGAGTTGAAATATCATAATTTCTGATGAAATGGGAAAGCTAGCTCAATATATAATCCCAAGATGTTATAAAATAAAATCTGTTACATGGGACTTTTATGATGAAGAGACAGTTAAGTCTCTTGGACTCAGCCAGATCAGCCAAGGCTTAATAGCTCCTGGCTTTCACCTGTCAGCTGCTCAGGAGTATTTGGATGCCTGCAGTCTGTTTTCCAGCCTCCAAGTAGCTTTTGTTCTGTTCTGTGTGCCAGCTCCACTTACCACTGCTCTGCAAGTGGATTTTTTTTTTCTGAACTTACCACTGAAATAAAACATGTCTAAAGTAGGGTCTCCTCTCTGACCCGAGTGTAGCAGTGGCATTTTTCTTTAAAAATCTAGCCTAAAGAGAGCAGAAATAATTTATATACAAAAAGCAGTTGTCTGTCTCTTCTTTCTTTGGACCTGGATGACAGAAATAACAGCATTGGTTCACATTTTCCTTTATGACTGGTGAAAACTTACAATATGTTCTCTAGTTAAATAAATACTGGTTTTTAGATAACAAATATTCTGTAATTTCAAACTTGATAGTAATATGCTTGGGTCTCTTCTTTTATTTGCTAGCTTTACAGTGCATTCAGAATGATAGTTTTCTAAATTAAATCTGCTGCTGTATTTCCTAGGACAAATCTGAACTTGAGGAAAGGATTTCTTATTTTAAGGCATACCTGGAAACAAAAGGAGCTGCACTGAGCCAGACTGCAGAGTTTCTTCCCTTCTATGCTTTGCCTTTTGTTCCGAACCCCATGGTACATCCTTCATTTAAAGAACTTTTCCAGGTAAGTATCTGTGTTGCAGAGATGATTTTATGATGACTTACACTGAGCACTCTCTGCACACCATAGGGTTGGATGTTTAGAAGATGACTTCCAGAGCAGTAGCTTGATGTTCCAAAGTATTGCTGGCAATACCTTTGGAGGAGGTACAGCCACCATTTCACCTGCTGGTGGCTTGCTCCTGAGTGCAAAACTGCACCTCAGCTTCTCTATTGTGCTGGAAATGTCTGGTTGCTTGGCTGCACTTGGACTGGATCAAGGAATTGATTTCTTGCCTGTGAATGTGTGTCTAAACATCTCCCAGGTACACATACCTACACAAATTTGTTTGTAATATTTTTTAGAGTTATTTGCTCTGAATGCTTCCCTGACCATGTGGACAGTTGTGCTGGCCTGGCTGAGCAGCTGTGGGCAGCCACTCTGGTGCACAGAGGTGTCTTCAGCCTGCATTGCTGCCACACTGCTTTTGATGACAAATCAAAGCTTAAGTGATACTTCCCCTAGGGCTGACTTTGGATGTACAGCTGATGAGGAGCTCCAGTTTAACACCAAAAAAAGGCATATCCTGCCTTTTTCCTTCAGGACTGCTATAAATAATTACATAGACTGGTTGGCCTCAGAGATGGAATATGACTACTCTTTTTAAATTACACTCTAGCAGCATTTCTTTTTAATGCCTTATCTAAGATGTGATCCTCAGGTTTATTCTGAGTAACCCAATGTCCAAGCTCTTAGTCCACACTCACTCATATTTTCTTGTGGGAATTGTTCAACTCATTCCATTTTAATGTTGAAACACAGATTGTTTTATGTTTGAGAAAGAGCAGCAGTGAGTCACTAGTTTACTAAGCAGAGTTCTTATGACATATATTTTTCTCAGGCTGATGCTTTATATAGCTGGAATTCCTGTCAGTTTGTGTAATACATCTTTAAGAATCGTATGCACTCCTCTCTGTAGGAGACAAGGTTTCTTTAGTAATATACAGCATGCTGTGGTACACCACTGTCTGGGTACTGAGCTGGTAAATGCAGCAAGTAAATTCTGTACACTCACCAGCTGGTGAAATAAGGGCTAATCTGAGCTGTGAGAACAACTTGTGACATACATGTATACAGCACTAAATTTAGGGAGCTCCAGCTACTTGTTGGAAGACAGAGCTGTTTTTTTTGGGTTTTTTTCTTTTCTTTTTTTTTTGTTTTTTTTGTTGGCTGACTTTTCCTCAAGCAGAAACCAGCTTCACTGAAGGCTTGAAATAGAAGACATGAGTATTTGGTGGATTCCTAGGTGTGACTTTCTTCTTTAACTGCTGTTTTCTTGTACATATGAGACACTACGTCAGGCAGAGGACACTCTTTCAGTTAATGTTGTTGGTCTGTTCTGCTGTTCTGTTTTTCCTGCATGAGCTGTTTTTCTCCAAATCCTTATTTTAGAAAAATGTACCCACCAGTGTCATGTCATCAGGGTTGCTGAAGTTATTGACAAAAATTAAAATTCCCGAATCTTGTTAGGAGCAAAGGATGAAAACTGAGCAGTGCAAAATTATGAATTTTGTATTCTATTCAATACATGTGAAAATAATTTTTTATCTTTTTCTCAAGTTGCCTGTCTTTTAAGGTGCTTTTACATTCAGGGCAGTTGCTGCATGTGCGTACAAGGCACTGACACTGTGTGGTAGTTTTGTACTTTAAATAAAGCTACATTGTGTTTCTAGAAGTCTTGTTTAGTGATAATACTGAAGTCCCCTCTGACTTCTGTATGCTTTTATGGTGAGTGAGAAAACACTCACTTCAGTAACAGTGGAGGGAAAATCTCTTCAAGCCAATGCTGGCTGCCTTGTTTACTAGTGGGAAGTTGCTGTAATCCAAGCAGTACTTTCTGCAGAGTGTACATATTTGGTGAATAACTGTTGTTATTTATTTTTCTTTTCAAGGATTCTTGGACATCGGATTTAAGGACAAGATTGGAAAAGTTCCTGTCTCTGACTCTTAAAGCCAGACAGACTCCTCGGCTTCTCACTATATTTGTATCCTTCTAAGAAAACACTTCACAGATAATTAGCAATACTGTAAAGAGGCAGTATAATTTATTGCAAGAGTGTGTTGCTAAGATTTATTGCAGAATTGCAGTAACCTTACAGCTCAGTGTTTTTATGATAGGAAACATTGCTAATATTCCACATTCAAAAATAAACTTTTGAAAAAGTCCTATAAAGACCATTTACAGATCCATATGAACCTACATGTTTATCATGTGATCATTCTTTGTTTCCATGTATAAATGCAAGATACCCAAAGTCACCGACCTGACCTGACTTCTTTCTTAGCATTTCTAAAGCTATTAGTCTTTTAAATTAGCCATTTCAGGGACTAGGTGAAAGTTTTCCAGGGTTTTAGGGGTTCTAGAAATTATTTGGTCTCTCATAGCTCAGCAAAAGGTCTCAAGTTCCTAGACAACATTTTGAGTTGTGCACTTACAAGTTGACATTTTTTATATATTTATTTTTATATATTTATTGTTGATTTATGTATTCTGTGGAGTATCAGGCACTGGCTGTTGGCTGGGATAGTAGAAATATATGGCTTGGTTGAGTTTCTCGTTCTGAGTCTCTGAAGCAAACACTGAAAAGAGGGGCATTTTCCTGAACTGCTCTAACTCATGCAACAGAAGGAGAGTGGACAGTGCAACAAAGGTAAATACTGGGCTGTGGTAAGGACATTCTGTAAAATTGTCAGGGGCTGTGAAAGCAGTGAGAGGTTTACCTGCAGGACTAGGGAAACCAGTGATGCATGGCAGAAAGTCCTTGGAAATCTAGACACCAGTTTTGGTGATAGCTATTGATGGCTTTTCAAGCTCAGTGAGATTCAAGCAGTCAATAAGTATGGACTGGGAATGGGAAAGGGCCTAGTAGTGGGATTTGTATTAAGCATCTCTTTTGTCCTGAAACGTGGTAAAAACAAGTGGAGAACTCTATACAAAGAGCATACCAGCTCTCCTTTTCTAGTTCTGATGAAAGTAAGTTACCTCAGATTTCTTTGCCTTGCTTACAGGTTTATGTCTCATTCAGTTGTTCTGATGACTGTCTGATGATCTTAGACAAAGTTGATTTTTGTTCCTATTTACTTGTTTTGTTTACATAGCCTCCTAAAATAGTGCATATTAGTATCTCCTGAATAAGAATGTGTTCATTTAAGTGTAACTGACTGATGTGTTAAATTTTGAGATAAGATGCTTATACACACTTTAATGTGTATGTGTGACTTGGGGCCCTTTAGAAATAATAATTTCAGTACAGAATCCTGTTAGATGCTGATAAAACTTGAAATATGTGCCTTTTAAAAATCACTTCAATAAATAGAACTTAGGTTTCCAACTACCTTGCATTCATTTTTTCACTTGACTTTCTGCATACACTTTCTGGTTAGGGAATTGCATGAGACCAGTTGGATTCTTAAAATTACTTTTTCTCTTGAGTTATTTTAATCTGTAGGTTTACCCTGAGGATTTACTTTTTGTAGATTGAATTAAGCAGAAATTTAGGTTTTCTCCCAGTGGGAGTTCCAGGTATTTTCTTTGTTCTTTTGTTCTTTATATTGTTGCATTAGACTTTCACTGAATAATAGAAAGGTTTTTTTGATTTTTATTTTCCAGAAGTTACACTTTTTCCTTGTGGAGGACTTTCCTGAAGGCAATAATCCCATGCTCTTACTCAAAAAAAAATTAAAAAAACAATTATGCAATTGGACCTGACTTACTTGGGGCCTAATTATTTCTAATTCGGGCAGGTCCTGTGCTTTGTACAGGGACTGTCATGGAACTCAATTCATTCAGGTCAGCTTTAATTTGCAGATCTGTTATGTGCCTTGGAGGTTGAGTCAGTTTGGATTTTTCATAAAGGTTACTTGAGGACTGTCTCATATGAAGGTTTTGGATGCAAGAGGTTATTTTTGTAGTATCCTGCTCACGTCACATGGGATCCACAGCGCTTACTCGCTGCTGGAGAATATTTACTTTATCAGTGACGGGGAAATGCAAAGTAAATTTATAGGCAACGCATGAATGAAGAGCAGTATGGCAGAGTCCTGAAAGCAGCCTTTTGTAAATAGTTGCCAGTCATCAGTGTGACATGCTGAAGTACTTCTGATTTGGGTGGGGTGGTGTAAATGCTTTTGCGGGTGTTCTGGAGTGTTCAGTGTGCTTACCTTGCCTGATTTACCTGCAACAGTGGCTTTTTACCCATTTGCTAAAAAAATTTCTGTATGACGTCCAAAGCTATTTGTGTGGCAGTTGTGCTTAACTTACAGTTTTCCTGTATGTTTTCAGTTTGGCTGGAAAAGCAAAGATTGCAGAATAGTTGGCATTGTGCACAGGGAGCTTCAGACCTTCTTTGTGTCCTCTCTGCTAACAGGAACTGAGGGAATGAAGTAATTGGAAGTGTGTTCAGCTGCTGTTCCCTTCACTGCCTCGTTACAAATCTGTGGATGAGTTCACAGCCACTCTTCCACCGTTTTGGGGAGGGGGAGAGTGGAGGAAATGTGTCAGGCTCCTGCACTATAGAAGGTGGAGTGTGACCTACCTATCCGTGAAGATTTGCTAAAGTCTGAATGACTATTTGTGTGGAAAAATGTCAGTTTAGAATACAGATAGTAATTTTTAAGCAAGAAGGAGACTCCTGCTTCTCCTAAGAGCAAGATCCAGTATCCAGTGGCAGCTCCTGAGACCTGCAGCTCCTCTGCTCAGTGCTCTGCTTCACTGTGTGCAGGAACTCAACTAGCTGGAGTCAGTGCTTCTGGACAAGTATGCAAAGTATGCTGAGATTAGAGAGAAATAGAGCAAGCACAAGTTCAGGAAGTGTGTTTCAGGTGTAGGTAATTTGTAAAGGAAAACAACCATCTCTCAGAGAGAAAAGGTTATGGGCTTAAGTGCATATGTGTAACTCTTTGGCTGCTTGTAGGAACTGGAGTTAGAAAACTTGACAATTACACATATGAGAGAGCAGGCAAGAATTCTGGTAGAAACATGCAGTAGTTCAGATGATGCCTAGTGCCAGCATTTTCATTCAGCAGAGTCACAAGCTTTACTGTGTCTTGTATCCTCATACACCAGGAGATTATTCCTCTGTGCTGTGTTTTTCTCTCTTTTCATCCACATATGGAGAGTGTTTCTGGTAGGTTTTTGTCCAGAGCTTTTTTTTCCTCCTTGATAAGCTTATCATGTATGCAAAGCATTTGTCAGTGCTGGGAGTTGTGTCTGGGGAAGAGAAAAGCCACAGTGTTACTCTGATTCCTGTAATGGTGCAGTTTCACCACTACTGCAAGGTGACATAAATGTCAGCTGAAATGCCTCAGAAAGGTACCATTTCCTTTTACCAGATCTGGACTGGGATGGTAATGATTTAACATTTTAAACAAAGAATTTAATGCTAATTTTTACCTGGGCTGGTAGCTCCCTGATTTGTCTAAATGGATGCTTTACAGGGATATGGCAGGAATGCAAGGAGGGAATGGAGCAGAACAGGACCAGCTCTTCCAACAGCTGTCTGAACTTGGAACAGCTGCTTGGCAGTGATGAGAGCTTCCTGTTCTTTTGGCAAGAGAAGCTGTCATGAAAGACTTTCCCCTTTTCAGTAAATTACTTATGTGTGAGAAGATAGTGATATAAAAATACAAGATATGCCAAGACTTTGTGATTCCTCTTGGACACCCTTTTCTCAGTTTATTATTGATAATCCCTAGATTTAACAACCAAGGAAAAATTGGACCCTTGTTTCTGAATTTCCAAGACTAGGGTTCATGAGCTGCACTGAATTTTGGTTATGTAGATTTTTCCTACTGACTGCAGTTGGAAGACTTTGGAAATTTTACCCACTGGGCTATGAAAAGTAAGTGAACTCTGAGAAGGTTTAGGCTTTCTGATTCGGTGTTTCCAAATTTCCTCTGAGGGAAAGTCATGCTCTAGGATACATCCATTGTAAATTTTTGAATTGAATGTGTAGTATCACAGTTAAATAAAATTATATTCCCATTTGGTTATCTAGGCAACAGAATAAAGTGCTGGAATAGCTAGTTTTTTACAGTGGCTGCTCTCAGAATCTTTATTAGTTTAGAAAAATGTTCTCATTTTGAAGCTGTATCATATTAAAGCTGTGGTGGCAGTTTAACAGTAATGGCAGTGAAATAAAAAAATCAAATTTACATAAATAAATCAAGTTATCATAAATAATATATAAATAATAAGTAGAGGAGTAAAATTATCCTTGTAGGCAAATTCCTCACCTCAGAAATTGATGGTGTTCTTTCAGAATAGTAAAAATGCTTGTGGGTTCTTTTGTCCTTTTGTTTGAATAGGTGATGCTATTTCTTTTTTTTTTTTTTCTTCTCTTCACAGAAATGATGCAGCATCTTCATCAACAGTTAGTGAAATGTGAGCACAGGTATATGACCAACCTGAAACAATTTTACGAATTGCAGATGAGCCACCATAATCTCCTTGGAGTCACTGCAGAGCTGGTGGATTCTTTGGAGGCCACAATCACTGGCAAGATGGTAAGAGATGACCCAGATGTGCACTTGCTTCCACACCCCCTAGAAAATGGAGACCAAAGGGTGAATTAAGCTTCATAGTTATGAGCATTTCTGTTAGAGTTGTGGCTCTTTATTAATGAACCAGCACTTTGGATGAGCAGTTCTCCTATTGCCCTGGTGAAGGAGGATAAAAGAAGGGCAAAAAATGAGTTTAATTGGGCTGGCTCAGAAACCTTGAAAAAATTATCACCATCTCACAAAGACATCTCAGATCCCTTGATCTTGACATTAGTAGTGATTAGAGGGCATTTCAGTGATTACTGACTGCAGTCCATCAACAATTGTTGTGTATTTAAAACTTCAGTCAGGTGTGTTTTGAACGCCATGGTAGTGGTAACAATCTTATCCAAAATTTTGATGAGGAAAAGCTTTGCTCTCTGTTCTGCTAAACTGGATTTGTTAATTTGATAAAGGGAACTGGGAGATAGGAGTGAATTGAGTTATTCATCATATGAAATGGGCCACATGTATGTGACTGGAGAAGGTGCAACTTTATTAGGAGTATTTTTTATATGAAGTTGATTGTCTTTTTCACGTATTGTGCTGTGTCCTCTAGAAGCATAAATTCTGTGTAACCTGAAGGCTGTTCTTATGGCAGATGTTAGTGGCCTCTAGGTGCTTTTAAAGAAACTGAATTGTTAGCAGGGAGAATGACCTGGCATTTCCTGTGTTGCCTGCTGAAAAGTCAATATGTACCTTCCTCCTGTCATCATCATGAACACCTTATGGTTTATTACTCTGCATCTGGGATCACTGCTCGCTATTACTGTAGGGCAGAATTTGCGTGTAAGGGTGGATTATGCTTTACTTCACATTAGGGAAGGTACCTGCTCAACAATAAAATCAGTCATTCATTTCCTGCCTCCCATTTCACACCTCCGTGCTCTCCAGGCGATATCCAGTTACCCTCTGTGGTTGGGAACAGGACACTGCTTCTCCTCTGTTGTGGATATTGTTCAGGTTCCTTTGTGAGCCTTGTGCAGGGCACTCGTTTGATGCTTCCCGAGTGTGTCCAGCTGAGGGTGCTCTTCTGTTATGGAGCCTAGATTCTGTCATTCCTGAATCCAAAGTGGAGCTGGGTACTGAATAAAGTGATATTGAAGTTACAGCGTTCTGAATTTGAAGGGGTTCATTCTCCTGCTGAAGGTCTGGGAATATCAGAAGTGTCCCCAGTTGCATTTCTATAATCTCAGTCCTCTCATCTCTCTTCTGGGGCAGGTACTAATTCTCCTGAAATTCAGCTGTTCTGTTGTGGTGTAGATTTCCCAAAACAGAAAAACTAAACCCACTGAGATGTTTTGCATTGAAAAACAAAGTGTTGTACTGCATAATTCATATTTATTCTCTCTGCTGTGCAAGACAGTTGTGTAAGTTCTGCTCCTTAGGTAAACAACATGTCAGCACTGTTTCAAGCTCAAAACTATTTAATTTTTAGATTTGATTTGATTTTTAACTTTTTGATTCACAAAAATCTGTATGTAAATAGGGGTGTGACAAAATCTGGTTTTCTTCTAGACTCTCAAAGTGTTTAACACTAGTTTTGTGAATAGTATAACAATTCTCAGATAAAGAGACTTTACAGTTTTTAAAATTTCTGAACAGAATGGTAGTTGCAGTATATACCTTGTGCTTGTGTCAGTGAGCCTCAGATGTATGATTTCTTACTCTTTAACAAAACCAAACAAACAGCCTTTTAATATAGAAACACTTGTCTGGTAGAAAGTGTAAGTTTTATGTAATCCTGTTCTCACTTTGTTTCCTAATTTTTAGATTACACCAGAGTATCTTCAAGGTGTTTATGCTTGCTTATTTAGCAATCATTTGAGACAAGCTGTAGCACACAACATTGACTTCACAAGGCCTGGAACTGTAAGTAGTATAAATGTTTGGGATTTTTACAGCAACTGTCTTAAAAGCCAATATTACTTAAGCTATGTATAGAACAATAAATGTTCTATAATGGGAAAGACAAAACATAATGTGCTGAAGCTTGTATAAGAATATGGCAATACATTGTTTTGTTGATCTCAGATGCTGGTCAATGATCTGGTTGTACAGTTATAGCTGTGTAAGTATGGTTAATTCTGTTATTGTGAGGACAGGAAGATTTGTATCTGTTAAAATGCTAACAAAATGCTTTAAAAAACCCCAAACCAAATCCTAAAACTGATTTTCTGAGTGTGGTTTGATGGCATATCTTAGCCAGTTTAGTTTAGCTAAAAAAGGGGAGTGGTGTTGCTGAGCTCTGGACTCATGCTCTCTGTTCCTTTCTATTGTCAGTGCTATAACTCTACAGAGAATTGACTTAGCCAGCTGAAGGAGAAGCATCACTCAGGATTATGAGATCAAATGTGGAAAAGAGGAGGAAGAGCCAGTTTTAGATGAGCAGTTAGCTGAAACACCTAAGCTACCTTAGTGATTTATGTGATGGTCTTCTAACGCCCTATCTGAAAAACTTTGATATTATTGACAAACAGCTCAGGATCCCTAGGGCTGGTTTCTGCCAGCTTGACCATTCTCTGGTTTCTTTTCAGATGACTGCAGTACACCTTGCTCATTTATTTTCTGCTCAATCTCTTCTGCCTAAGTGGGGAGGGAGTTCTGGGGTTACTTTTCAGCAGCAAAGCCAGCTTAGGATAGTTTCTAGTGTCTATGAAATTTTTCCTGTGAGATTTTAAATGACCTAACAATTGTGTAAGAGCTGTTCAGTGGTACAACTTCTTTTAATATCTCGTTTGTTCAAGTCTTTCAAATAAGCATTAATCATAAAACTACATCAAAACATTTTACTAAGAAAATACTGTGTACCACTGTTTGACAAAGACAAGCCAAAATCATGAACTGTGCTTATTGCTTTTGCCATGGCAGGCATTCATGTGTACTTAACTTAGTAGCAGGAGAACTTAGTAAAGTGTCAAAGGAAAAGCAGAAGAAAAGAAAATTCCTCCTCCTTATTCTAGCCTAAGTTTTTAATAACAATTATGCTATGGGTGCATTTTGTTCCTCTTGAAAAATTGCTACAGAAAGATAAGGAGATAATACACATGCTTCCTTTTCTGTGTGCTAGTGTTTTCAGAGATATATATATTATTGCTCATTGCTCTTCAAGCTGTTTTAAATTCCCTCACTTTCCTGTTAATGGTCAGAACTCTTTTCTCTGACCCGCCATGAGTTTAGGAGGTTCACTCTTACACAGCCTGCAAAAGCTGCTGTTGCAGGGTTTCAGGAAGGAAGCAGGATCTGTTTGTCTGCTACCTCAATATTAGGTGCTGTCTGCTGCTCCCCTCTCCTCAGATTTACATCATATCCATAGCTTATGTCATCTCCCATCCCGTAATGTTCCTCCTCCCACCCTGTCTTTCTTCTAACCAGCAACTTGGAGATCTTTCCTCTTTCCTTGCCAGTGGCTTTTTGAGATAATTCTTTAGATACCCCAGTAGTTTTCTGTATTTTTGCCATCTTATGTTGAGGTTGTGTGTTTCTCCTTCCCTGTACTGAGATCATACATTCTGTACAGCCGTGTGCCCTCTTCTTTCTGCTCCTGCTCTCTGCTTGCATCAAGACTTCTCTTTTTCTCCAGTGCTTTCAAGGTGCTCCATTTGCCCAGGGTTTTGCTCATTTTTTCTATTCTTATCATATGTTGATCCTCCAGTCTCTTGAACCCTTATAAGAAAGGGGCAAAGGGAAGAGTGTTATCCTTATGGGAGGTTCTGATTTCTGCTTCCCTAAAAGTGTCTCTAAAAGCATTTCTGCTCCAAAAGTGCCATTGCCACTATACTTAGGGCACTGTGCCCACTTGGACACAGTCTCCAGCTATGCAGATAGGTTAGAGAAAGAGGATATGTTGGTGGTAGATTTTTTTTTTTCCTCCTGGAAATGAATTTTTGTCTCCCTTAATTAGGTTAACCTGAGTAAAGCTGTGTTCTCCTGGCACAGTTGTATCTATTTTTATACTAGGCTTTGCTAGCAGAACTATTTCTGTGTGAATTTGTGGCTCATTTATTCACACTGTTTGAGGTAGTTGCTGTGACAGCCAAGCTCTCTAGTGAAGGATCAGTCCAGTCATAGCCCTGAGACTGTTTAGATCAAGGCTTTCTAGACTGGTTTAGGTCATGCCTTGACTTTGAGGTTCTAGCAGTTACTGTGGTTGAACTCTCATGTTGTTTCTATAAGCAGATCCACACAGGCTCTCTGAGGCATTAGCCAAATTTTGGAGGGCTAACCACAGCCTTGCATATAGACATTAACTGCATCATAATCAGGTTTCCTTATCTTATCCTTTTGTCCCCTCTTGATTGATGATATTTTCTTGTTTAGATCCCATGTAAAGAGTTCTGGTTTTATACACGAATAGCAAACATGCAGGAACAAATAAATGTTAGAAGAAAAAATAGGTATTGACTTATGAAAAAGAAAATCATACTCCTTTCTCATCCCAGAATATTTCTAACCATTATCTGGCTTTGTTGATGCACAAAACCAGATGAGATGAACTAAAATTCTGGTTTACTATTAGGCCACTCAGTCATGCCATTACTTTTTTTTCAAGGATTCAAGTAGTTCATTGTTATACACTCAGATGTTATTGTTCTACCCTTAAGTGGTTTCAGGTTTTTGCATACGTTTTGGAATAAAGCTGGAGGCACTGTGACCCAGACTAAGTAGTAGCACGAGTTCACAGCATCTGTGCTGGATTTGTGTTGGAAGGTTCCTTCACTTTTTGCCCATAACGACTTGAGGCACTAGAGTGTGGTCTTTCCAGCTACTCCATTTCACAAACTACCTTCTGCTGTAAGGGGCCACCAGATGCATAACTGCAGAGGGGCAGCTTCTTTGTTCATCCTTACTGTACCATCATCCTACCTCATTCTGTAGGCAGGATAAGTGAGAGGCTTAAAGAAACAGTCATTGTCTAAAGAGCTTTATCAGGCATTAAATATGGTGGTTTGTTGGTTGTTTTGGGGTTTTTTTTCCCCCCTCCACTTCACCTTGACTGTTCAGGATGATCTTGTCTCACTGATATCACCAATGTCAGGACAAGACCCTGAAATAAATTGGTTCTTCTGGATCAATATCTCTAAATAAATGAGCAGGAAAAGAAATCATTAGCAAGGAAATTACTTTTTTTGTTATACTGTCATGCAGCCTTAAATTTCCACCACTGATATTTAGGATATGAGTGGACATGCATTACATAGTTTGAGAAGAGGAAGTGCTTGAGTTCACAGCCAGTGGTACTGATGCAACTCAGGACAATCCAGGTTTTGGGTCAGGTTCTGAGAGCAGAAAATGCTAAAACTGCATCATTCTCAGAGATCTGTATTTGAGCTTTAGAGTATATTTTGTTAAATCCCGTACACTGGTAGTTTTTACTTACACTGGGAAGGAGAATTATATGAATATTGTAACCCAAAAGAACTACTGTCCAAGGAAATTAAGGAGTGTACCTTGGATTACATCCTTGGTAGCATTATTTGTATGCAAAGTTGATTTTGTTCCCAGTACATGGTGCTCAACTTTTAATGTTGGGAAAAGTTGTATTGTGTAGTAGAAAGCTGTGAGGTCTCAGGTTTTGAAATTATGATAAAGGCGACCTGTATCAGTTGTTAATATGCAAGCATCAGCTTCCTGGCTTGCTCCCCACCATGGCTGAAGGCCTGTCTTTTAAAACTGGAAGAAATTTGTATCAGGAAAACAAATCCTACAGGCAAGTCTTATTGATTTGTCTTTAAGACCTGAGGCAATGACAGCCAAAAAAGTTTTCTGTTGTAACTGTACCCCAAAACTTACTTAACAAGGGCTTCTAGTGTCAGCTCTGTGTTCTCTGATGAGCTGGGTTGGATCTCATTCTTTTGCAGAACAGCTCCATGTCTCTTGCCAGTTCTGTGACCTCCTGGGTTAGCTCGTGAGCCTGATCTACAGTCTATTAACAGGATGCATCTGCTGTGTGCAGTGGGAGAGAGGCCACAGTAGTGTGTTACAGTTGGGGGGCATTTCCAAGGCCTCTCTAAGGCCCTGTTTTACCATAAGGTTTTTCTCTTAGCTGCAGTTGAATGTTATCGCCACCTTCCATCATTTCATTTGACATGTGTGGTCCTGTATTGGGAGATAAGAAACCTAAGAGAATTGTCAGATCAGAAGGTGTGGATTCAAGAATAGAAGGTCAGAACAACAGGTTTGACAAGCTGAGAAAACATTTATTTGAAGATTTAATCGATTCCTGACTTTCTAGTGTTCCTTTGGATAGAGAACTGATGTGAGTAATGGTAGAGTTTTAAGTATAGCAATCTATTACAGGACTATCACAGTCCCTTATATTTTTAACACTCCTAAAAAAAATCAAGTTTTACTTTATTTTTTTTCACCATTTTCCTTTTCTAGTCTTGATTTGTCTGGTGGATAAGAAGCAGGGGTTGTAGTTTTTGATGCCTGCAATTTTCTGTTCAATACACACCATGAAGCCAAGAGGATTCTGGCTTTTTGTCACAAACCCTGTACATTCACACACCATCAAAAGTAGCACAAGCTCAAATCTGAAACCCACAAATAGGTTTTTTGTTTGAAATAAGGTGTGCACGTTCCTGGAATATTTTGGATTAGGGATAAGATAATAAGGTTCTCTAAATTTTGGATTAGAGACAAAACAGGAACTCCTTCAGATGTGCACTTTCTGTCAATAGTAGAGATGGGTGTTAACCACTGGAGAATCTTTCTGTGACCTGAGAGGTGTAAAGTTGTTTGCATGTATTGCACCTGTGTCGTGGAATAGAATAAAAGACCATTATGTTTTTGCTGCTATTCAGTCTGATTATATTTACCTGTACCTGCAATTAGGTGAATTAATGTCCCTTGCAAGTTTTGGGTCTCTTTTGACACCACTCTTGAAGCTGTGGAAAAGTAGTGGGGTGGTTTTTTTTAAGTTCTGTAGCTGGACAAAATTACCAGGTCCTCTGTAAAATAAACCATTCAGAGTGGATTCACAATGAATTATTATGCAGATGTTTGTTCTTTCATTTAAAAATAAAGTACACATTGCAGCAAACAGCATCTACCCTAAGTGAGCTTTTCTTCAGATGACATAATCAGTTTTCTATGTCCCTGTCTGTGGGATTATTTTTATATATTCCCATTTATGTATGGAAAAGAAGAAGCAAGACTACCTCTTCACGTAAGCATGAAGTTAAGGAGAAGTTAATTTCTTCCTTCTGGTACAGTATATGATGCCCTTTTGACAAGTTGCTGCATGGTTTTTTGTTTACATTAACTCTTTAAGGGTAAGGTGTTGCTTTCAGTAGGGATTTCCACAAACTTTTCCTGTCACTGTCCTCAAATCCTAGAATAGCCCATTTTGGAACGGACTTTGAAAGTAGTCTCCAACCTTTTGTGATTTCCTTTAATGTTAAACCTCTAATGTCATCTTTTGTCTTGATGCTTACATCCATTTTTATTGGCTCAGATCATGCATGTGTCAAAAAGTCTCTCATCACGATGCAGTTTATCTTCTGGTTTCTTTTGCTCACTTATTGGTCTCGATCAATATCATCCTTTGTCTTAAATTTAATTTTAAATTGTCTTTGCCAGGAACTGTCTGTTTGTGTATATAACACCATGAAAGTTAAAGTAATCATTCACATCAGGGAATTCTAAGTGTCATGAAAATGAAAAGAAGAATGACGGATTTTTTTAATTGATTAAAGAATAAAGATAACTTTATTTTCTGCTCACAGTGAAGAGTGGCAAGAGTTCTTACATCTTCTGTGTAAGGCTGTATGTGTCTTTTAAAGAGCAGCCTGCTAAATGGGGTGTTTATGTGCTTATTAATCTGTAAAAATATGTCCTCTAAAGTAAGTACTGGTAGGTTTGCACAAAAAGATTGGAAGCAGAATAATTAATGTTGGTCTTATTTCATTGTGTTGAACTGTGTACTTTTTTTTTTTTAATTAAGGCTGTTCTTTTTAGATACAAAGCTGTTCTAGTATTTTAGTCCAATTAAGGAGAACATGGGATATTTTGTACTAAACTACTCAAACCATGAATTAGCACCATTCTTTATTTTAGTAACTACATCCTAGGTTTCACTCCAGAGACTTTGTTAGTTTATCCCTGGAACCTTTTGGGATGAAGAATTGATAACATTGCTCAAACACCTTAAATTGTCTCTTTCAGTCTTTGTTATGTGTTGGTCAGAAACTCCAATCAAAGCTTGTGTGGAGAATAGTGGCAGGTGCTTTCTCAGAAGCTGAGATCTTCTGATCCAGGCCACATTCAGGGCCTCTCTCTTAGCTGCTTCAGTGGAGTGAGCAGTACAGGTCATACATTCCTGTAAATTCATCAGCGCTTTGTGTAGCTGTTCTGACACTGACAGTGTGGAAAAATGTGCAAACTAGGTGTGTTTGCCAGATGTTGAGAGGAGAAATATATCCAGATATATCATAAGAGAGATGCAGCAATTTCAGTTCTGAGACATGCAAGTATGAGGATTGGGAGAACATGTTTATACTTTTCAAAGCTAATAGTTTGTTAATTTTTAGCTCATTTCTATTGGTTGTTTTTTAGAACTGTGCATTTCTCTGTGATTTATTTCTGTTAACTTATTTTTTTTAATCTTCTTTATTTTAATGTGTGTCTGTTTGCCTATAAAGGGATATTACTCTATGAGCCCTTGTGATGACGGATATGTAAGTGTCTATCTTTATTTCCTTTCACATTGCCTGCTCAGTCTGTCACAGTCTGTATTTCTCTATTTCACAACGTGCAGCAATTTTCCCTGCATTTTAGCTTGTCATGACATTAATTGTGTGGTTTATGAAGAGCCAGAAAATGTGCAGGGCTTGGAAATTCTGCATGGGGAATGGAATAGATGTTCTGGGTAACCTTATGGCTTCATTGTGCACATAACCCAGCATGTCAACATAAGAGCAGCTTTGTCCACAACTTTTACATGAAACACAGCTTATTATAGCATGCAGAAAGTAATTGTTTCTTCCATGGGATCATCTGTATGTAGTATACATTCTCTCTGAAGTGTGCCAAGACCAGCTGACCCCAAAACACCTTTGACAAAGCAAATAAATATTGCTCAAGGTAATTGAGCAAGTTGAGTTGTGATTTTCAGAGGAGTATTGTATTCTACATGTTTGTATTTTTCATTCCTGAAGACAGACTTCCTTTTGGTAGTAAAGATTATGAAATTCTTTCACACAGTTAAAATGATCCTGTTTCACTGAAAACACAAAATTATATTCTCTGTACTGCCTGTGACTTCTGTACCCCAGATGGAAGTTTGTATTCTGGCAATACTACAAGTACACCATAAGTATCTAATTTTGCCCATAGTCAGTGCATTCTTTGTGAAGAAAGGAAATGAGTCTACTTCTAAGTAACTCAGTATGTAATCAATTCATAAAAGTGATTGACACCAGTTCTGAAAAATGACAGTCAATTTAAAATAATACATATTTATATTTTTATCACTTTGTTAAAGTAAAACAAAATTTTGCCTTTCAAGAAAAGCTGCCTAAATTTCAAACATATATATGACCTGACATTAAAGTAAACCCTTGTGAGCATTCAACTTTCCACTTAAAACAACATTTTATTTTGAGAAATAGTAATAGAAATACTGAATGCAATGGACTATTCCTTACATACTTATTTTTATCTTGATTTAGAGAAGACTACCCACATCAACCTATGGTGAAAGATCATCTGTATCAATCAACCTGTTCCCATTGGTGACATGAATGTTCATAATAGGCACTTTTTACTTGATGTTAAGCATTTTGTTCCTTCATGTCTCTGTTTTGAGATTGAGAAAGGTTGATGACAGATGAGCAATTATGAATCAAATTATTTTTGGTAAAGAAAAGATTTTTCTTTACACAGATTAGTATAAAGCATTAGTTATATTTAACTTTATACAGTGTAGAATGTAATACCACATTTACTGCGCAGAGTTGTTTATAAAATTTTTGTAAAGCTGATTCTGATTCTGAGGTATTTCTTGACTACATGGGTAACTTTCAGTTCCCCTCACTGTTTATGTATATTATTTTATACTTCTTTCTGACATTCATGTTGTCATTACATTATCACACAGTATTACTGTGTGACTTTTTAGTATACACATCAGATGTCTTAGAGAACCTGTTTTATATGGCAAGTGGGAAGTTTTCATAACAGCATATCTCTAGTATAAGTAGGAAAAAAATAATTAAAAACATTTGTAGATCTTCTTATGAAATAATACTTTGCATAGCCCCAGTAGACCTGCCAGGTTACACAAGCTCAGGGTCTAATCCCTCACAGGCTGTGTGGAGCAGTCTTCTTGTTATTAGTTTGTAACAAATGAACTCAACATAGATTAGTGAGTTCTAATGATTCATAGAAATCTGCTCGAATTTTGGTTTTACTCTTCACGTATTCATCACATATCTTTGATTATTAATTCTGAATCTGCATTGAATTTTCACTGAATTCTTACAGCACGTTTTCAGAGTGGGAACTGAGGACAAAATCTGGCTTTCAGCTTTGCCTTCAGCATATTATGAATATATACATCAAACAGCAAAGGGGATATGGCTTGAATATAGGGCTGCAGTATTTGATAAAATCAGTTGTGGTTTTGGCTTGCACATGAAGTGCATCTGCTTTCTTTTATAAGTACTGATTTACTTTTTTCCCTTTGAACTTCTTAGTTTATTCCATGCTGTTCGTATTCATGCATGTCTTTGTTCAAAAATAAAGGGATGCCATCTGTGGCTAATGTGCATCGTGACAGAATTATTTGACTTAATGTGGCACCTGGTTTGGCTTTGGCAAGAACCAACACAAACATAAGTCATACACTATGATCCTACCAGAAAGAGCTATGCTTGGGCTGGTTTTCCCCTGCGTTTCTTTTTCTTTCCTTAAGACACTGAGAGTCTGCATGTCTTTCAGTTATGACAAATGATCCTCTCTCAAGATAGGTTTTGCATGAAATGTATTTTTTTCAAGATGAAGTCTATGAGTGTTGGGACATAGGAATATGTTTGCCTGTCTTTCACTGGCAATCTAAGGTATACTGTTACTCAAAGGGTTAAAATTATGGCTAACTTGTTCCAGGAAAGACTGGGGGAAGGACTTGGGAGAAAATGCTGAGTAAGTAAATTTTGTAATCTAGAAAAAATGAGTAGAAGAAGAGCTACTGAATAATTTCTATTTATGGTGATTGTGCCATAAAGATTCACTTGTTTAATAGCAAAATAATCTTTTTATCTTATTTTTTTTATCTCTTACACTTTTCCATTCATTGGCAGATTTCAAAACCCAGCTTGTTCAAGAGATTGATGCCTGTATCTTCTTTTTAGATGAGAAAAATTGAGGCCCAGAGGCGTGTTTGGATTCTGTTTGCAGTTGGTGGCTGAATCAGAAGTAGAGGGGTATCTCCTGTGCCGGTGCCTTACTCAGCATGCCACAGATACAGATTAGCTTATTTATGACTAATTGGAATAATGCAGATGAAAGGAAGAAATGAAACTTCTGCCTGTAACATAGTTGTATTCTTTCTGCCTATCAGTGGTGCTGACCGTAATCAGGATAGTGCAGTGCAGTGAAGAGAAACTAGGCCCTCAAAACTTTCTTCATTCCTGTTTAGCCTTGATCATTGAACCTAATGTAATATGAACTTTATCCTTACTGCTTTCCCAGAAACACCAAAAGCCTGAAAGAACTTCCTCCTGTGCAGGTTCTAGACTGATAAACTGAGTCTGAGCAGCAAAGTGACCAGAAGTCTTTCCAGCTCAGTGATTCTGCCCTCAGAGCCTCAGTGCAGGGCCTGCCTCACTCTCTGGTCCTTCCTTGTTGTGGGAAGAGTACAGAAGGAAACCATACTAAATACCTTGCTGTGCTTCATCTGCTGGCTTAAAAAGTAATCTGGGAATTAACAGGACCTTGTCCTATTTGATCTGAATGTTTTTCCACTTGAACTTTCTGTAGTTTGAAATTTTATAAAAGCTTGCAAAGTCCTACACTACCAAAAAGTTTTATTTGTGTAGAAGGGTGATATGTCTATCTTAACCAGTTATCCTCTGGTTAGATTTTGGTTGGAGCACATGTTTTTCTTTCTAAAACAGCAAAGAGGTGCATAAAAAGACTTTGTTGAGAAGCAGAGACTCTTTATATACATCTATATAGCCCTAATGCCCTGCTCTGTTTCTTTTCACACTGCTATTCTCTATTTGACCTTCCATCTCCAAGGGCTCTGTAATTTTTTTTGCATTCAAGTGCTATAGTCACTTTGTTCCATTTCCTCTAACGGAGAAAGGAGAAAGGTGCTGACAGAGACAAGGAAAGTGATTTGTGATTTCATTACACATGCAGCTACAAGGTTTTATGTTTTTACTGGGAAAACAGTTTTGTTTGAACAAAATTAACTCTTTATACTTCTAAAAAATGCTAAGGAAAATGAACAAGGGCAAAACAGTCTAGGGGCAGATATCATGCTTAGAAAGACTTTTGTATTATATAAGATAAACTATGATGTGAGAACTGCTGGTCCAGACAGGTTACTTCTGAAGTGTATGAAATTTTAATTGTCTATTGTGTACAAGTCATTCATTGACATAATATAAAATGCCTTCCAACGTGCTTATAAGCTGATTTCACATCTAAGAGAACAGTTCCTTGTATTACAAGGATACCCATGAGGTTATGTTTTCAAGAATATGTCAGTTGGTGTAATTCAATATTCTCTGTGGTATTTCATGCTTTTTGTCTCCTAAATCCCACAGTTTTGAATCTGACAATAGACATTGATTATATAGTTCCTATTGAAAGAGGCTCAGTTAGGAGAGAAGACCAGTTTTACAGGCATAAGTGGTAATGAGAGATTTTTAGCAGAGAGATCAGCACAAAGAGATGACATTGAATATTCTGCAAATACAGCATGTAGTTGACATCAGAATGCATGACATGAAGCACTCTTATGCCAGAATTGCTGCATCTTTGCTTACCTACAATTAAGTCTAGTAAAAAATATTTACTGAGGCAGACAGCTTTCATGTGGAACTTTTATATGGTGTTGATGCTCCTTATTGCACAGTGGTGCCTGTACAGGTACTGTGTCACCCTGCATCAGAGAAGAAATATCCAAGATTTAATCATAAGATACTAAGCAGAACCACTAAGAAATGGCACGCTAGTTCATATTGGTTTTATCTATACCAAAATACATGAAACAAAGAATTACAATAAATTTATATACAGGAATGCAGGCTGGGTCTCCAATGAAATATTACTGCAATTTTAAACGTACGAAAATAGATGAAGTCAATGAATGTGCTTAGCAAGTTCTTCATCTTCCTCAGTGGGCTTCCGATAGTATTTTCTATTCATTTTTTTTTTATTATTTTTTTAAAATGCTTCAAGCATAGATAATTTGTGGAATATGTGGGTGAAGATAATATGGTCAGATCACAACAAATGAGATTTTTACCTGTGAAACACTTTAAGGGAAAAGAAAGATAAACGCTGAAGTGCTCTTTCTTTAACTGTTTCTGGTTTACAGCACAGGTTTTTATAGGAAAAGAACTGCAGAACCTCAGTGAAAGAATTCACTTTGGACCTCACTAGAAACATTATGTGAAATTTGGATTTATATGCTGTAATTTCCTTTTTTGTTTCTTTTTGTGATCCAGGCTTCCACATTGTTAAGAGCATCTTTAGCCTCCATGTAAGTATTTGTTGCTGAGCTTCATTTCTGTCTGTAGAGAAGAAGAGGGGTTTGTAAACTGAAGTACACTCCCAGTTGTCTGCAAATGGATCTCACTGCCCCTCTGTGCTTCCTCTGACTCAGTGGCCATTAATGCAAATATTGTGTGATCTGTGTTCTTCTGCTGAGCAGCTTCAGTAATGTTCGAACTTCAGCAGAATGTTGTTAATCCATTCCACACCTGTGAGGTTGTTGCTGTATTTTTAGTGTTTTCACATATTTCAGTCTTGTTGTTATAATTGGTTTGATTCTCACAAACCCAGAAAAAGGGGAAATTAGCAAAATGGATTTTTGGATGCCTTTAATTTTTTTGTGTCTGACTTAATAAATTTTAGCTTAAAATATTGAATAGAGATCATATATTCAAGGTGAAGTTTTATTAAATTTTTGAGACATTGTTTTTATCCTGTTGTTTACAAGATATTGGGGCAATTATACATAAAATATAAAATTGGTTTTGAAAAGTGGTAGGATGGGAAGATATTAAAATATTTTAGTGGATTATATTTAAATATTAGGATTAAAACATTGACTGTAAGCAGTTTTCTTAAGGGAAACTTATATTCCAGTGTTAAATTTCAAAACAGCAAGATAGTATTGATGCATAGAAAGTGGTCCTGTATTAAGTCTCATGTAAGCTGGAGCATACTCCAGCCTGTAGTAATCCATTCAGTCCACACCACCTTTGCCTTGGAGAAGACTTTTCTGTGTGCATGAGGGTTTGGAGGTGGAGTTGGAGCTGCAGCATTTTACTGCATCTGTTTCTAACTGTGTCAAGAGCCACGAGCTGTTGTCCTCATGCCCTTGTGGTCCAGTAGGGGAGGGGAAAAAAGGATATTACTGTACTGTTTTGTGCCAGTAAAAATCTCAGATCATCAACTGGCTGGTTGCCAGTTACTGTCTGCAAGTTATGGTGGTAAATGAGCTGCATGCATAATTAAGAAATAAACCCAAATTTAACAAGTCTGCTCTAACACTATAATTGTAATAAAAGTGTGAAAATGTGGAAGTTCTTTTCTTGAAGCGGACTTCCTGTTTTGGCTCTTCTCACCTCTGTAACATCAGCTGCACTGAACTAGGAGAGAGAATTTTGATGAATGTCTTTTCCATTTGCATTTAGGAAGGTACAGGATGTGCCATTGTTGCCCTCTTTGGATTATGAGAAGCTGAAGAAAGATCTGATTACAGGAAGTGATCGTCTCAAGGCCCTCTTGCTGCAGGCTCTGCGCTGGGTAAGGACAGGGCCTCTGGAAGCATCCAGAACTAAGATCCATTTTGCCAACAAGATGGTCATTCTGGTGATGAGTTCAGCATCACAGGCCACTTCCCTGTTGGTGAAGTTTGCAAAGGCTGTTGAGATGATGAAGGTAGCCAAGACAGGAGGTGTCTATCTGTGATCTAGCAGTGTCCTTCTCATCTGAGGAGAGACTGATTCCTTACATGAGGAATTCACAGATTTCTGAGATACTCAGTGGAAATAATTTCTGATGTGCTTTAAAATAAATTGTTGTTTTAGGCAGTTCCTTTTTCTATATATTGTTTTGGTTTCTATTTATATAAATACTGCTATAGCCAAGACATACCTGACTCTAATCACCAGTTTTCCTTTATAATCAAGGTACCTTTCCATTGATTTGGGTCATGTAATGACATTTCAGAAAAATTACAGGTGGCCACAGGAAGTTGCATTTTCCTGCTGAAAAGGAAGCTGATGTGTTCCAAGTGAAAGTCATGAAAGATGATAATAGTGGAATTCTGATCAATGTCAGTTTTCACATAAAATACAATCTATTTGTTCTGACCAGAGGTACTTCTAGCCCAGTGCTCTGTATCAGATATTTAATTAGAGGGGCTTTTTTAACTTTATGGGAAGTAATTCCGTATCCTTCCTGTATGGACAATGATGACAGCTCCCAAGTAACAGTTTTGTAATGGATCACAGAGCTGAGGTGAGGTCAGTTCATTTCCTCTCTTTCCCTTAGGTCTCTGAGGTTGAATTACTGCTCCCTGTGAAAGAGGTTTCTCAGCTACAGAGTATCAGCACCTTTAATATCTCCAGGGTCATCAATCCATAGTTTTGACTTTTTGTGGGTTTTTTTACTTGTTTATTTATCTTGTTATTTATTTTAGCGCTTGACAACATCATATCCTGGAGAACAGAGAGACACTATCATGCAAGCCTACATCAGTAATGACCTCCTAGATTGCCACAGCAACTGTCAGGTCAGTTGAAACTGAGAGTTGTCACTTGTCCAACTTCTATGTGATACTGCTCATTTGTGTCTATGATTTGCAGATCATAAAATTCTATTGCTCTCTGGAAGAGGAGAAAAAAAAAAGGTAGTAGTGCCAAAATCAGGTGATACATTTAGCTTCTGTATCCTGGTCTTTAAATGTGATGGCAAAGCTTTGCATTGCAAGAGCTCTTAGCTTAGACACAGTTCTTGTAGACAAATGGAAGTTTATCAGCTCTCTGTGCTTCTCTGTGAGTTGAACCGAAGCCTGAGGCCCTTAGCCTGAGGCCCTTTAGGTCTTGCTTATCAGATCCTGTGTCTCTTTTTGAGTGATTGTGTATTGTTAAATAATAACACTCAATTCATTTCATTGATCTAAGATAAGAACTAAATTAGGATTTCATTCCCAGTGCTGCTATGGAATGTGTCACTGTGCACCTGTAACAGCTTGGTCAACCTGTTTCTGTGAATCTGAGGTGGATTGGAGCCATTCATTAGAAAGGGGAATTGCTGGTGTGTTGATTTTGAAAAGTTGTTTCAGTCACTGATAACCCAGTACTGTTGCTAAGGAAAGCAAAACTTTTTTCATAGGTTGTAGTGACTTGTGCATAATTGAGTTCCCCAGGGGTTCAAGGAACTGAGCCTACTTGGTTTATTGTGGCTTCATTGTCTTTGGAACAGTCAGTCACTTGTATCACTAGGAAATGTAAAGAATTATTAAATCCACCATCAGTTCTTAGTCCCTCTAAATTTCTGGAAGAGGGAAGTTATATGTAAAGCCTGAAATAATACAGATTAGAAATAATTGCAGTGTGGTGGTGTTGGTTACTGAGCTGCTTCCCACGCTCTTCATTGTCAAAGAAAAACATTCAGGTAATACTAACTGCACTTAAGTTCATCAGCAAAACTTAAGTTGCTTTTTTTGGTCACAGACTGAATATTAATTTTAGGTACCAGCTGTAACTGGACTGTGTTGGCTCATTATAACTTCCACTCTATACCTTACAGTTTAATGGTGTTTTAACAGACTCAGCTGAGAAGCTGTAATTTACCTATTTGTTCATTTTTCATCTCTCCTTCACTCCCTTGCCAATAAAAAAATAAATTGTGCCTCATATTGACAACTTGATATACATTCTAAGGATTGTTAGGTTTTTTATGTGTAAGTTTAGTGGAGCTTTTAAAACATTATAGAAGACTAACTTTTGTGTTTTCCTTCTTTGTGGTTTATTAACATTTGCTTTGTTTTTCAGAGAAGTGTCCTCCAATTATTATATTCTAAGAGTGAGGTAGTCAGACAGTATATGGCAAGGCTCATCAATGCTTTTGCTTCACTGACAGAAGGTAAAAGATTCACTGCAGAAAATAAGATAGCATTTTCATATAATGCTGTCTTATTGGTGCTTCACAAGTGCATGTCGGTGCATGAGAAGATTTAGAGCCTTATTTTGCACCCTTTTTCCTGGGATTCACTATCTTCTGTTGCATGCATTCAAAACATCTTTGCAGTATCTGGAAGGTTTTCATTTTGACACTGTGTATTCAGTATTTCTGGCTTGTTTTGATGGTTTGTGATCCATGTGGGAGCTTACTCAGATGCTGTCTTTAATATAGTCTTCAGTCTCTCCGTGAGGGTGAAAGAGAAAAATCCCCATTAATTAGGGGTCCTGTGGGCAGACCTGCTATCAGGCTGTGCAATATTAACTACTGTGGCTCCTGCATTTTTCTTGTCCTCACCTGAATAAACCTTTGTGCATCACTGCTAGCAATCCAGATGCATATACATCCAGCTTTGTATCTCTGCCTGTCCCATATAAGCTCTTGGTTTGTTGCTATTTTTGGAGCTAAGTATTGCTAAGCGCTGAAATCTCATTTTAAGTCAGTAGCAGGAGGGCACCTGACTTTCCCAAGCTCCTGGGACATTTCTGTTCTTTGCCTTGATTGTACAAAACTGATAGATCAAAAAGCATATACTCAGAGTGGATTCTCTGTGGTACTGATTTGGCAAGTGTGGACCTGTAACACCCCAGGTGTCTGGATTGAAAGCAACTGGTCTGCTACACAACTTTGTGCAGGTTTGTTTGGATCTTGGCACAAGATTGTGGTTTGTCAAGAGGAAGCTGAGGTCAATCCTGCTTACTTTTCCAAAGAGCAGGAGCTTGTCTGTCCTAGCTGCTATCTCAGCATCTGTTCTTTCATCGCCTTTTGCACCAGGTCGTGCCTACCTTTCTCAGAACCCAACATTGCTGCAAATGCTGGAGGACAGACTGAAAGCTGAAGACAAGGATTCCCTTACATGGGAGAATGTTCTGGGTGCTCTGCAGAAATTCAGCCTCAGGTGATGAAAGCACAGCGTGGGGTGGTGACAGCAGGAGAGGAAATGCAGGCTAGTTAGGCTCTGTTCAGGGAGGAAAGAAGAGCACTTGATTTTCCCGTAACAATCATCAGAACCCCTGATGGCTGATGAAAGCAATGTCACTTATTATGGAGAACTCAGTTTTGCTGACTGAATTAACCTGACTTCCTACCAGCTGTCAAGGCTCAAGTAAATGTACATCTCCTACCACAGCCTTGTGTGTTTTGTATGTGTTCCTTAACTGAAGAAAGTGAGAATCTTAATGTAGAATGCTCTGATGATCCTACATGGAAAAAAAAGAGTTGTGTTATACTCCAAAGCATAAGGTTTTCATTATCCTTTCTGCAAACATTTTTCAGGGATTTCATCTTTATCCTGTTGACCCTCTTTCCTGGAGCTGTCTATGCATGGGCTGTGTTTTTTCTTACTTTTGCGTTAGCAGTCTGACTCAAGTGCCCACCACAAAATAAATATGCAAAAGCAGTAAAGGGTATGCTCTATTTATCAAATAAATACAAGCTCAGGAACTCTGTTTTCACAGCAGTTAGGAGGAATACTGAAAATGTGGATGTTTTTTATTTTCTAGAAAGTAACAATCTTATAGCAGGTTAATTCCAAATACTTGACATAAGGGAAACTTTTTTATTATGTGGTGAGATGTCTCTACTTTGCTTAGTCCATGCCATAGACCTGTTGCAATATCCAGCACTAAAAAACATATGAGCTTTCAGGACCAAAGCCAGGAAAGCACCTGTTTTGATCTTTGCAATTTAAATATAATGCCTCTTGGAAAAAATGTTATTAAAAATGCTGTTCTTTAGTAAGACTTATCTACCCGTACATATTTCATTTTTTTTTTGGTATTGTAAAGTGTAGAATTTCTATTGTAGGTCACAGTTGGCCACCTGGCACTTCATTCAGCATAGTCTTTGAAGGCAACTACAAATAGAGCTAAAGAACATAAGATTTAAGAATCTCTAGAGAAAAGTGTAAATAGATTAAAGCAAAAAAATCAATAGAAAACAATGAAGAAATTTACCTCAGCAGTCCACAGGTTTAAAAATAACAAAATAAAATGAAAGACAAAATCCCCTGAATCTATCCAACAATGTTTTAGTCCTCTAACTGTATGGGAATCTGCATCTTCAATTTATTCAGGCTTTGTTAATTACTTAGTTTAGTGATTCTGCCAAAATGGGTAGTTTAGGGATTTATCTTTTTTTTTTTTACAGACTAATGTGCTTGTGTACTGGCTATAAATGTATATGAAAGCTGTTTATGTTGTGATCTGACATTTGTGATTTGTGATCTAATTTTGTTTTTTAATCCTAGGCGTACACTGCAGTCGGCAATGATCAAAGATGGGCTCATTTTCTGGCTGGTTGATGTTCTAATAGACCCAGATTGTCTGTCTGATTACAACCTGGAGTACTGTGCTGCCTTGCTCATGAATCTTTGTCTGCGGAGTGCAGGTGTCTTACATTTTGAATGACAACTTTATTCATATATAGGTGTATATATAGATAGGGAAGATTGTGAATCTCTTTTTCCTGTTTTATCAGGATTCTTTCAAGTGACTGCAATCAGCAGCAGGGACCACAACCAGAGATGTTTAGTGTTATAACCAATGCTTTTAAGCACATCTCTTTTCCTTAGGATTCCAATTGTGGGAGATTAGCTTCACTGAATTTTAAAGAATTAAGCAAATAAGCAATGGCACCCTATGAGATTTGATTCTTTTTCATATTAGTATGTGAAGGCTGCCATTACTACATTCCAGGTCCACTTTTCAAAGGACACTTTGCAAACTTTATGTAAGAGGTTTCTTTGTAAACAGAAAGAACTGGGTTGAGGAGTAATGGTGAGGAGTTTAACCTTCACCTTGCCTTCCCTTCAACAGTGCAATAAGATCCTGTCTGTGCCCAAGAGACTTAAAAAGAGTTTAAATTAAATTTGCTTCTTTTTAAACGGAAAGTAAGGTAAGGGTGAAAAATTGTCTGCTTCTTGTAAGCAAAAAAATGCCTTTGTTAATTTTTTTAATCCCCTTTGTGTTGCATAAACAACACAAAAACTACAACTGCATAAATCCAGAGTAACTTCACTGATTTCAACTCAGTTATGCTGAGCTGCATTTGTCAGGGACAAGAAATAGTATTGCTCTGTGCAAACTATATTTAATACTGATTCTAAAAAGTAAGCAAGAAACCTGCTCTAATCTGTTCTATTTTTCAAGCATATTTATATGTTCTGTCTTTGCAGGGAAGAAAATATGTGCAAGTATCCCAAATCACATGCTCAGAGTTCTTTCAAGTCTTCTTGACCATGAGAATCCTAAGGTATTTGTACAGCAAACTTTGTGTTAATGAAAAGGTAGAAAGAAAAATTAAAGAAGGAAAAAATGTAAAAAAATTGGTTTTGTTTCCTTTATAAGTTGCATGAAGTTTGAAGTTGCATGAATTTTTCCTGAAATTCACAAATGCATAGATTTTATTTTGTTGAGCAGTTTTTCTAAACAGAAGCATGTCTTGCTTTAACGCATGTTGGCAGCTAAGAATGAATGATTTTGGATTCAGTTGCCATGCATTCCATCTGCTTGATTGCAGTTTCTGATGCTGCTTAAATGTCGTGCACCAAATCACCTCAAGCTTAACTTGTTCATGAGATTAACAATGTGTGGTGCACACCCATTGCACGAAACATGAGGTGCAGGGAACACATTTGCTGTAGTTTTAAGGAATGCTATAAGGAAATAGTAGACTTGTGACATTCAAGCCCTGATATCTTTTTATCTTCCCCTTTACTTGACCTGTCAACTGTTACTTTAACCTTTTGTGTTCCCTTTCTTTTCTATCTCAGGGCACACTTGCATCTTATCACCTCAGAGGAAAATGCTAAAAATTATTAGTTACTTCTACCTGATACTTGTTGGCACATCACTCTGATAACTGCTGCCTGATACATAAAGCATTGCTTCAGCTGTCCCTGCAGAGGGGCATTTCTTTAACCATGGAGTAAAATTTAAGGCAGAAAGAAATGCAGACAAATATTATACAAAGCTGAATTCGTGGAGGCAGAATTTTTACCAGGATATTCTAGAATAATTCCATTATGATTTTGCAAGGAGTTTGGAGACTTCTAATAAAAATGAAATATAAATTCTGGTGTCTTATTTTTATATGCAATGACTGTATCATAAAGGGGTTTTGTATATAATTTAAACTGAAAATAGAGAATACACTTCAACAAAGTGTTTTGTCCATGTGTTATGAATTTGTTAGAAGATGTAGATCAGTTCTTCACTGGCATTGTTTTGATTAATTTTGACATACCTTTATTGGGTTCCTTCACTGCCCTTGTTTTGTGAATGATGAAAGTTTAAGACAATATAAAATAAAATACCAACCCCTAGACTGAAATGCTTAGAAAATGCTACCATGTTGTTGAAGTCTGTGCTTTAAAATTATTTTGAAGTTTCTCTCAGAGGGTGCATTCTTACAATGTACTTTGCACTTACTTTGGCAGAAGTTTTACTGTCGAAGTCAAAACTAGAATACAGTGCTCTTGGGTGTGAGGAGAGATTCCTGAGAAGCTATGTAATCCTTGTGTAAATCCCAGTCCCTTACCTTCCCTGGCTTCCCCTGCTCCCAGGTCTGCTCATTGTTCACTGTTCCAAAGGTACAGGCAGAAGATGACTGAAAATCTCCGTGCTTCAAAAGTAACTGGCTATTGGAGAGGGTAATATAAGTGCTGGTAAAACTAGTTTGACAGATCTGGTGGCTTACACTAGCCATAATTCAGAGCTTTTGTGCTGGCAAGTATTTTGCCTCTCCTGAGAAGACAGTAAGAGGCAGCAGAGTGAGAGGATGTTTGAAGCTGCTTTGGCTTTATCATCCTGCCTAAGGCTACAATGCTTGAAGCCCATCTTGAGTTCATGTTGGCAGGGTCTTTTCCCTGTTCTTTGTCCTGTTTTTTCTACTGTTATTAGTGTTTGTCAGAAACTAACCTTCTTTTTCTGCTTTTCTCTCTTTCTTTTCCTTTTTTTTTTTTTCCTTATGTCTAGGTCAGTTTGCAAAAATACATTATAAGAAGCAGAGAGGCTGTTTGGGAAATTGGCATGCAGCACACTGATTTGGATCAATCGTATCACAGTATATTTTCATCCTAAAAGTTCTCTGCTTCCCATGTGGGAATTTTTACAAGTCCAGTCTAGCTTAAATTCGTTGAACTATAGTTATTCTGCACTTTCATTCTTGTATTTGTTGATAGTCAACTGAGATGAATGTAGGAGTTTTTCTTCATGGTATGATTATCTCTGCTTCTTAGGTCCAGTCATATGTGAATGGAGCACTGTACAGTATTCTGGCCATCCCTTCTGTCCGAGAAGAAGCCAAAGAAATGGTAAGAAGTGCTGCTTTGCATAGCATGATAATCAACACCTCTGCCAGAGATGGCCAGACAGGGACCTGCTGAGCAGGGTACAGCAGGGCTGTGAGGTGGGAGCCAGGGCATTTTCAGAAGGGACCCCACAAGAAGAGGCTCTTCCCCTTTGATCCTAAGGGAAATATGAATGTAGGTCTCAAAAACTTGTGCCATATTTTCAGGTCTTTTTCCCAGGAGTGGAGTCCCAGTAGTGTGAAGCATTCTGTCTGAATTATAAATTAAAGGTGTTATTTTAGGATTGTGTGTCCTTCTAGCATTTTGTAGACTCCTTGTGGCCCAGGAGATGCTTTCATCTCACCTGCTGCTTCTTCCCCTTATGTAGCTCAATCTGCACCACTAGTAGCCACTAAAAAGGACTCTAAACTCTGGTATAGACATGGTTATTTGGGGAAGACAGAAGGAGGAAGGTTTCAGAACTAGGAACTGATTTCCTGTGAAAGTCTAATGGTAACAACTCTGTTTCTACTTCTGTGTTTGAGGAAGCTGCTCCTGGGATAGCAGCATATCTTTTTAAGATATATAAAAACTAACCCAGAGACTTAGGGAGACATATTTGTTGTCAGATACTCTGCCACACAGAGCACAGAGGATTGAAAGTGATCTTAAAAGCTTAAAGACACAACATCAAGGCTATAAGGAGCCATAAAGAGAGAGACCAGGTTTAAAGTCAAAGCTGGTTCTGCTTTTTGCTTTCCTTCTCTGAACCTTGCACTGTTGTCTCTGTGGATGCAAATTTTATCCTGTTTTGATGACTATTGTGTACTGAATTAAGAAGGCAAAAGCAACATATCATAAAAATTTGCTGTTCATCATGGATGTGTCTCTGTTTAATCCCTGAAGCAATCTAGACACTGTAATTCTTTTGTCTATGCAACACTTGGAACTGGACACTGTGGTTTGCTTCACACTGCCTCTGTTTTTCCTGACAAAAACAAAAAGAGATGTTTTAGCTAACAGATCTCTGTCACTGTAGTCACAGGAAATACTGATCTACCAATGTTTTCTGCTACATCCAGGGAATGGAAGAAATTCTGCGCTGCTTTATCAAGGAAAGAAATGAAGAGATGGTTCGACAGATTGAATTTGTAATCAAGCAACTCAATTCAGGTCAGAATGCATGCAGCTATCAGAGCTTTAAATCTTTCACAAAAGCCATAAAAAAGCTCATGTTTTTACTTGGCATTAGAAGCCTCAAAGAATAACAATAGTGTGATGGTCTGAAAGAGAGTGAATAGTGAATGTCAGGATTTGAAAGTCAGCTATTTTAAAAATTTCTTTATGTTGTAGTAATAAGGAATAAATAAAAGGCTGAATAAGACACAATTCCAAAGTTTTGGGACCGTAAATAAAATTACCTTGGCTGTTTTCTTTCATGTCAGTGGTCTGATGTTAATGAGACTGCTGCCAACTGCAAAAAATGCAATTACAAAAAATTTGTAAAACTGGATTTAGGGACTAGGTCTGTCTGTGGTCATCTCTTGCTCTGTTGAGGTGTAGCTTTATGTGAAATGGCTTATCCTGAATAGGGAGCAGTCACCATCCTTTTGGGCAGAGTATGTTGATGGGTCATAGGAGTTGTAGATGCTTTTGATACAGACTGAGAAGGTGGAATATTCCATTTTCTGTTTCCTATGACTGGAAGGAAGACTGAAGAAGGAGAAAGCAAATAGTGAAAAGAAGATTAATTCTGGTTTCATCTCTCTGTTCAGTAAACATAGAACAAGTTGAACTGCTCTCTTTGGCTTATGGAAAGAAAACACACCCTGTCTTAGTTCTAGCTTTTAAAAGAACAAATGAAGTATTTAAACACTGTATTGCCACTCTATGATATTTATTCTTCAAGGTTATAGAACCACTCTTCTTCTACCTGAAAATGGCATTATTAAGAGCTTTTGTCTGAGTCATTGATGAGTACAAGTAGTGTTTTCAGATTTCCAGCATAAGCCTGGCCACTTTTTTCCTGAGGAAATAATTTTGTTCAAAAGTTAAAATAAGTATTCTGCATGAGTACAAATTTTTTATGTACAAAAACAGTGTAATATTAAAGTATTTGTGGTGAGAAATAGTCTCTTATTAAAAAATCTTTGAAAAATAGACAAACTTGCAAGTGCACACACTTTCATTTCAAGTCTTGTCAGTAAATACAGTGAGACATCACCATGGATTTTGTGAGAAAGTAACTATTCCAGAGTTTCTATTTCTGTCATATTCTAAAATATCAATTGATTTCAGTGATTTCTGGAATGCTTATAGGATCAAATTAGTCCAGTAGTTGTCCTGAAAAGGACATGTCTGTTTGTGAAGCAGGTTAAATCTTGGTCCTGTAAAAACAAGGTAATAGTGAGATTCTGTTGAGCTGTACATGTGCAATTTAACTCACACCCTCTTGTTTTGCTTCTTTCTAGAAGAGCCATTCAATGATAATATTGTTTCTGATGATGATGACGACAAAGAGGAATATGAGGAAGTAAGTAAAGGCTTTCTGACACATTTTAGAAAAATCCTTAACCTCCTAGGAAGAAAATATTTGTGTCAATAAACTGGACTTTGGTTTTCTGGTGCGTTTTGCTTTTGGTTTTTAAGTTTATTTAATTATTCTTGCAATAACAGGAAAATTGAATCTGTTTTCATTACCTTTTCTTCATTTTAAGTCCTACTCTTTTGTTTTGGCAACTCACCACCTCTGTGATAATTAAAGGGATTGTAGCTTGATATAAGTGAAGAGATGAGTTACTGTAGCAGTAGAAATCTTGCTTTCAAGCAGAGCTATTGGGTGAGGTTAAAAAGTATATTACCAGAATAGTTTATAAATAGATTGTCACTTTTTCTTAAAATAACATTATCTATTCAAGGTGTGATTTTATTTGCTGTTTAAAAACTTTGAAATATATTTAGTAAATTGCTGGGAGAAGAAAAGGAAACTGTTATTACAAATAAGGAGTAAGTCCCATGAGAAAATAAAATAAAACAAGCATGAGAAACTATATCATAGTAAATATAAGTTGATTAGCTTTGTATTTCCTTCTCTGCTAATAAATGCATTCTATACCAGTATTTCAACATCTTTTCAGAAGCTGTCTTCATAGAGCCCTGGGTGTAGACAACACAACTTACTGGATCACCTAAAGTAACAATTAAAGCAAGATGTAAATCATGTAAGGGAGATGTTGTACCCAGTCTTCAGTGGGGGTGTTGCCATTTCTGCATAAGTGCACAGTGGAGGCTTGAAAATACAGTGTCAGCAGTTACATGGGAGTTGTATCTTAAGGAAGTCTACCCCACTGCATTTTTTGATTTTATTGAGAAGCCTTGCTTGAGAAGTTTAAAAGAACAGCTATGGGAGATGTCCTGGAAACAGTATTTGTTCATACTTAGGTGTGTGTGTATGTGTGCACATACATTCATAGCATGTGTTTTACCCTGAAGAAGTCAGCGACATGGAGAGTGAGCAACCTGCAAAGTGTTCTTGTGTTAAAGTGTTACTGCAGAACAGACTCACTGAAAACCATGCTTTTAGACAAAATATAAGCTTTTTGTCCTGAACCATCAAAGAATAAGATAAAACTTAGACAGTTGTGTCCACATTCTAGTATCTCACTGCACATTAATGGGAATGACAGTGTCTGGGGAAAACTAAGTCTAAAATTTGTCCTGGTATTTCAGCATGACAGAATGTGTTTTCTAGTGCATGTTGACCTTCTTCTGTTCTGTTTTTATCTGAGAGCAGATAAAAATGCAGATATGCTGACTGTAACAGGTGTGGTGTGCTCTCAGCTGCTGTGGGGTCCAGCACCATGCAGGATCCAGCCTTAGCCTGGCAGTGTCCAGGGAAGCCTTGCACTGGTTGCATTATTTATCCATTATTTTGTGTTGTGAAACAATAGGTGGTGAATTAATAATCCCTTTGCCTAAAGTTAGAGCTATGTGGAAATTCTAAGTTTAGAGCTACAAAGGAGTGTTATTTTAACAATCAGCTCTCCTTTTTTATTCTAAGGGAACACAGTAAACTTTCTTTTTTCTTATAGGATTAGATTGTTGTAATTGTTTCACCTCCTGCAGTTCTGAAGTCAGTTTTTTATAGTCTTTCCACTCCTCCAACTGAAAATCAATGGTTGTACTGCAAGATGGGCTTCCCGGAGATTAGCCATTAAAACTTCCCTTTGCTTAAAATGCTGCTTAGCACCTTTTAACTGATGTTTCAAGGCTTTGAGTGTCTTGGGTGTATAGTGAGAATCCAAGGTGATAATACCTTTGCTTGAACTTCAGTGTACTTTTTAAAAGGATACTGTGTTTTGTTGTGAAAACACATAAATCAATGCCACACCTTTCAGGAAGGAGTTAATTGCATGTTAATGTTGAACACTTCCATCGCTTTACCTGTTCCTGAGAATGAAAGGAAGTTGAATTCTCCTGTTCAGTCCTTCCTCCCAGATGAGTTGCTGCTGCTTACAATCCCAGCAAAGGCTCTAGCTCAAATCCTTTTGAAATGTATTTTTGCCACTGGACCATCACGTGATTAAAATGGACTTCTGGCATTTCTTATTATTTGACTCAAAAAATGACAGTAGGCTTTTGAAACAGACCAGTGTCCAATTCCAGTTTTTCATTAGCTTCGCCATTATCTTAAAAAGAAAAGCCAAGTTTGAAACTGTTTTTGGTGTAACATTAATTGCAACACATTCTGAATCCTTATTGCTGCTGGGAACTGTAATTCTGTTCTGCTACAAGGACGTCTGGCTTTATAGACCCTCAGTTTAGAAAATGTAGTTTACAAATATGGCAGTAATGCATAATGTTGTTACTTTGTTAAATAAACAAAGATTTGTTGGCTACACTACCTCAATGCTTGGAACTCTTTTTGTATTTTTGGAATTGCAGTGAATTACTGTTCTCAATGGTGTTCTGTGATAACATCTGATGTTGTGATCTGGCAACAGAAAGTTTTGGAAAATTTAAAAATTATTTTAATTTAATTAATTTTAAATGCTTTTACATAACTTTTAAACTACTACAGAATTGATGCATTTCAGGATATGCCCATATTTTGCCAATTTAGTGACATGCTTTCTGACTGCTTACTGATAATAGGATTTGTTGCTCAATACCTTTATTTATACCTTTGCAACTTAAGAAACAACAAAAAGACTCTCATGCAGCCTTAATTTGCAGTTTTTTCTCCAGCTTTAATTGTTTACAAGAGCATGCAAATGTTCCCAGTGCTGTTACTATTAGCTTTCATTTTTTGCTTTTATCTGTGTTTAATTTAGAGTTGATGAATTCTCTGCTGGCTTTGAGGAGATCTTGTGGTAATGACTACTTTCTCCTAAACACTGTGGCCAAGACACAGTTGAGCCTGTTAGAGGAGAATTCTGGGATTTCCAAGGGCATCATACTTTCATAAATTTAAGATTCTGTACTCTGTGTGCTGTTATTCAGAAATAAGTTGGCTTTTGTGTTTGTCTGGTAAGCTTTAAATTAACTAGTGTAGAGCTTAGGATACACTGGCTCCTAGAGTACATACCCAGCCTTGAGATGTCAGCCTTCTGGGGTGTGTTGACACCCACAGTCACAGTGTGTGTTTCCTGGTTCTCAATATTCTCTTGACTGGTCTGTTAAATACTAACTTAATTTATCTTTAATATTTGATCTTTGCGTTCACTTTTTATTTGACTTGGACCATCTTGAAAAGCTGCTTGTAAAAGTGAATATGTGATATTGTAGCTCTGATTCAAGAGTTTACTTACAGGCTGGAGCTGTGTGAGGTGACTGTACAGTGACGATTTATCAGACACCCTCTGATCTGCTGTCACTCAGCACCTGGCAATAAAATCAGAGAGCTGCCGTGTGAAAATACACTTCTAGCCGCAGAGTACATCAAAAGAAAGAGCTTAATCACGGGTCTTCAAGCCATTGCATTAACGGGCTTTGCTGCCAACATCTGCTGCAGCCTGTGAGCAGTGGGGAACAGGGCACCAATTGTGTTATTTCAGCAGTGGAGTGATGGCACATCGGGCAAAGTCCTTACTTTGTACAAGGAGGCAGAGGGGGGATGCTTTCAGGCTCGGTTACCTGGTAGGTTAAATAATGTCAGGGAGCAGGATTGGCAGCATTAAGAAACCATGTTAAAAAAAAAAAATCCCCCCAGCTCTGTTTGTAGAGCTTTGCAACTTTCTCCACCCCCCCAACAGAATACAGTATATTGTGGATTTTGGAGTGTGTATTCTTGAGGGGGTGAGGATGGGGGTTGTTTTCTGCTTGATACAGATGATTGTTGCCTAGTCTACAAGTGTTTACCCTTTTGCCATCATCTGGGTTTTTTCACACATACCCAGCTTTCCAGGTAATTAAGATTGTGACTGTTTCAAACTGAGTCTAAATCTCACTAAAGCAAAACTGCTTTTTATTTTCATTGTGTTCTGGAGTTCATCAGAGTCCAGTGGCTTCTTTTTTTTTCTTTTTTTTTTCTTTTTTTTTTTTAATGGAATTTATGCCAGGCTCTCTACATGACTATGCAATATAACTTTTTAGAATGATTCCTTTATTTACTTCTTCTCATTTACTGTTTTTGACAGTCATTTACATTTATTGTCACAAAAGGTTTCAAAAGCAAAGATTTTCTTCATCTGGGGTGGATCTGTCTTAGGATATCTTGTGCAGGATAGAAATCTTTTTAGTAGTAAAACACAAGCAAAAATACTGTCTTATTCTTGTACTACTGGTTTTGGTTTGGTGGAGGAATCCCTCAAGCTTCAATATTTCCTGGCTTTTTTGATCTGTAGAAGCTGCAGAGCATCCATGAAAGATAACTCACCCATAGTTATTCTAGAAATAGGCAGAGGAAAGTGAATTCTCACTAGTTTTCACTTGAAGTTGGTTACATTTGGGTTTGTGGAATAAAATCAACAGAAGACTGTTGCACTTGAAGTTGGTTACATTTGGGTTTGTGGAATAAAATCAACAGAAGACTGTTGCCTTGTTGTATATTTTTATCCTGAAATACTAATTCCAAGCTTTTTGTACCAGCCTCATATTACCAGCTTCCTTGCACACCTGAGTTTCTTGCTGCCTTGCAGGAGGACAGTAACATCCTGGAGCCTGATCTGGACAAAGATGAAGTTTTGCTGCCTCAGCTGGGGGAGCTTGCAGGAGAGAAGCTGCTAACAACCGAGTACTTGGGAGTGAGTACTATTCCTTAGAATCTTGAAATAAATTAATTTCCTGGGTTGTGTTTTACTACAGTAGTTTCACCACTTGCCTCAATTTGTCCTTGAAGAGGCAGGTGCTACCTGCGGAGCAGTCTGAATCTTTCACAGTCTGTGTGAGCTGATGCTCAGAAGCAGAAACAATGTGAGAAAGGAGCTACCCTTTCACAGGGGGTGGTCAGGCTGTGGCTTAATAATAAGCTACAGGCAGCCTTAGGGTTCTAGTGCTACACCAGTGACTCTGTAAGCACACAAAGCAAAGTGCTGAGCAGGTTAATACTGGAACATTCTGCTGGTCTGAAATTATTTTAGAAAAAAGAAAAGTTGAAAAGTCAACTGCTCCTGCAGGCGTTGTGCTGGATCAAGTATTGTCTGCTTTATTTCAAGCAGCAAAAAGCTATTAAGTTAAAAAAGCATAAAGTTTGTATGAATGCCATTTAGCGTGCTGTGACTAATTTGAGATATTCAGAGGGCTGGAGCACCTCTCCTGTGAAAACAAGCTTAGAGAGTGGCTTTTTTCAGCCTGGAGAAGAGAAGGCTCCAGGGATACCTTATTGTGGGCTTTCAGTCCTAAAAGGGCCTACAAGAAAGCTGGAGAGGAGCTTTTTCACAAGAACATGTAGTGATAGGACAAAGGGGAATGGCTTCAAACAAAGAGAATAGGTTAGATTAGATATAAGGAAAAAACTCTTCCCTGTGAGGGTGATGAGGCTCTGGCACAGGTTGCCCAGAGAAGCTGTGGCAGTCCCATCCCTGGAAGTGTTTGAGGCCAGGTTAGATGAGGCTTTGAGCAACCTGATGTAGTGAAAGGTGTCCCTACCCGTGGTTAAGGGGGTTGGAACTGGATAGTGTCTCAGCTTTGGAAGACAAGTGACTGCTAAGGGAGGGCAGGAGCCTCCCTTGGAATGAAAATATAGACCCCCCCCCTTCCTCTGAATTATTAAAATTCTGAAATCAAGGGGCTCTCAGGCAGAGATCTGGGGATAGTTCTTTACTAGTATGTATAAGGAGGCACACAAACAGTAACTGCAGCATTAACAACAGAACAGAACCAGGGGCCCCGTGACAGCTTTCTTGGCTGAGACGGGAAGGGAGCTTCACAAACCCCTCGGGCAGGCAGTCCCGGTGCTCCTGCAGGGCTCTGAGGAACACTCAGCTGGAACAGCAGGGATGAGCTGAGATCCTGGGCCGGTGGCTGAGGTGGATCAGCAGCTCCACAGCAGTGGCTGGCACTGCCACATGTCCTGGCAGGACAGGGGGTGCGGGGCCACCAACCAAGAGGGAAGAATGAGAAGAAGAAGCAGCAGCTCTGTCTGGGTGATGGTGAAATTCCCTTCCCTCTGCAGCAACAGCTCTCAGCAAAGTGTCCTCCTCCAAAGCTCAGGAAGCCCACCAAACTGTCCTTGCCCTCCCCTTTTCCTGCCCCCTTCCCCTCCTGGGCCCAGCCGAACTCTTTGTGTTTCTCAGGCACCCACCAAGTACCAGCAGTCAGGTTTCCCCACAACTAAGGGGTAAAAATTCCACAGGTGAGCCAGAACTAAAAGGACACCTAACCCCCAACCATGGTCTTTATGAACCTTTCCAACTCAACCCATTCTATTATAAATATCTGCCTTCTGGATTCAAGAGTCCAGAATCCTGACAATGGAAAAGTGAGAGAAGATGTAGTGAAAGAGCCTTCAATGATTCCAGGCCATCTTACCCAGTGACACCAGAATGCAATTTAGTTTCTGCTACAATATTTCTGTACAATTTTCTCTATGGCTTCAATAACTGTTTTTCCACTGCCTTATTTTTTTTCTTCATTTCCTATGTATCAGATAATGACTCACACTCCAAAAACTAAGAAGAAGCAATTTCCTGGTGTCCATCAGAGTACAGGTGTGCCTCTCCAGAGACCTGTGACACCAGGTTATCACAGAGCTGCATGTCTAATGTAAGTCCAAGCAAATGAGACCAAGCTGGATTTTTTAAGCTTTTTTAAAAAGCATAACAACAACAAGGGAAAAAAAAACCATAACAATGCCTATCAACTAAACCTCCTCTATCTAAAAGTGCATTGCCATTGACATTCATTATGGATAATTTCAAAAAAAGGAGTGGAACATTGCAGGCAGGGAAAAGTCCATTGGCTGAGGTCACATTCTCAAAATAGTTGAATAAATATTTGCTGATCAAGTTGATTTAAATTTGCATTATATTATTATATTATATATGTTCTTGCATCTTCCTGTAATATATTTCATTGGAAAGTTACACTAAACATCTACAATGCCTGGGGTCTTCCACTTCACAAGCAACAAAGTATATTGGTCTGGGGAGGTTTGTTAGAGGACAGATGAAAAAGAAAATGGGTAAGACAAAAATCTTGTTATGTTTGGTTTCCCTGCTTTGAAGGAAATACTTTTTCATCAGAAGTGTGTATGACACTTTGCTCTTGATGTGACTAGAGTCAGAGTAGAAGGCTTATTGTAACTGGAATAAAGGAGTCTTACCATGTAGACATCCTTGAATATTCTTTGCCTTCTGTTAGAAGAAGTATTTCTTAATTTGAGCTGACATTTGTCCTGTTCACCATCCTGAGGAAGTAAAATACCAATGAGATTCCAAATTTAAACGATATTTTAACTTTCAGTTGCATAGTTTTGGATTTGATCAAGTCCAGGTGGCTATGATACAGGCATGTTTGTTTTGAGGATTTAATGTTTTCAATTCTGTGGATACTTAATCTGAGAGACTGCAAGACTAACAGAGTATGATAATAGTGCTTAAGACTCACAGGATTGGTATAGGTAAGAATGTTAAAATGAATGGCTAACTTGAAATGTAATGAAATTACAGGTGGTTCTTCCAACACATCAGTCCTGAAGATGGTCACATGTCATCCTTCTGCCACTCTTTGCTTTCCTGTTCATATTTTCTCTTTCTTAAAATACTTTCCCTCCTCATTTTAGTGTGGAAAATGGGTACAGAAATCAATGAGGACTGATTGGGCTGTAGTTGCACAGGTGTAGGTGACTGAGTGAAGTCTGTTGTTTTGGACAAGGAGTGGTCACAGATTTATCTTGCCTCCCACTGTCTCATGCTGGAATTAGCATGCCTACAAGCAGGTGACCTGAGACCCCACCTGTGTCATCCAAATATACCTTTTTGGAAGGTGTACCATCCCTATTGGATTATATGTATTATGTTACCAGGGCCTTGGAGCAGACAAGTGTAGCATACCAGATCTGGTCATGAAGCATTTATTTCTTAAAAGAGCAGGATGAAGGAAACACACATTTCCAAAGCAGAAGAATTTTTGACTGTCCCACGGCAGAATTTGTCTTGCAGTCTTAATTTTTCTTCTGAGTACTGCCCTAAATAAAATGGAAATTGTTTGAACATGGCACCTACTTTGTCTAATAGCCTAATTAAAAATCCTAGCTGGATTAGGAGTTCTGACTTTGTGTCTTTTCTTACAATGGCCAACTTTTTGCAGCATCACAACATCCACAGTTTTTGCAAGACCTCTCCCCATATAAATTCAGTGTGCATGTGTGTCAGAAGAATGCAGCAATTAATTAATATATTAGCTCATATTAGTAAAATATTGATTCTCTAATAATTTTCATGCAGTCTGCCGAAAGAACTGCAGGCCTTAAAAATCTAGACTGGTTAATCTATGCCTAAAGATACATTGCTGCTTTACTGTGGGGTCAGTGTTAGAGTTCAAAGTCCCATTTCCCCTATGCCGTATTTTATCCTTGGTGGGCTTGGAGACCTGGACTCACTCTGTAGAATTGGCTGTTAGGGCAGTATTACAGTCCAGTTTTTAAGGTTATTAGAAATTCCTCTGCCCAAATTAAGGTGCCAAAGTCAATAGTGTGCATTTTATTTGATAATAAATATGAGACAGGGAGGGAGAAAAAGGAAGAGAAAGAAATAGAAAAGAGGTGGGGGTACAGAAAGAGAGTGACAAATTAAAGAAAGTATCACCACTCTGTGGATCCCAAGGATGTTCTGTTGATCCTCTCCAGCTCTGGTCTTCTTGGTGGTGAGGGCACCCCAGAAAGCACAGAATCCAATGGACTAATACATGCTCAGGCCAGGTGGGAATGCCCAGGTACCTCCCCCTGGGGGGTACAGTTTGACACAGTCTCTTGCAGCAGACTTTGGGTTTGTTGCATCACTTTGCATCACGTGCAGTCTTGTGGTGCAAGGCCTTAGGAATGAGTCTGAGGAGTGCTTTGGGCATCTTTGATGGATTATGACATCCCCTCAGCTGCCTCCCACATCAGTGTCCTGTGGATGTGGCCTGTGGGGTTGGGTCAGTTTGTGTAAGGGAGGATGGGTGTTCAGTGCCCCTGACCAGAGGTTACAGCCAAAACTGCCTCCCCCTCCTCATTTTGGGGGGGGAGTCTATGTAAACCTGGCCTCTGTGGGCTATGGGCTCCCTCACCCCAAACCCAGCCAGGGACGATTCTCTCTGCATTTGGCTTTCTTGTGCATGCATTCCTTTCTCTCAGCCTTGTTTGCTTCTCCCTAGACCTGTGATTGAACATAATGTCCCCTTTATCTTATCTAGGCATCCTAACTCACAGTTCAAAGTTCCAGCCAGGCATCTTCAAGGAGGGGTGGGCTTTTGTGGTTGTAGCTTCTTTATACAATTTTTGCTATAATGGGCAAAACTCCTTCCTAGCAATGTTTAAGGCATGAACCATTTCAGTCCCTGACAGACAATCTTACAGCCTATTTAGAAAGTATATTTTCAGGAATAAATCATCATTGTCACTGGAGTGTCTAAGCATTACATTCTTGCTTTATAAGTGGAGAGAAAAACCAAGCTTGTGGAAATGAAATTACTTTCCTCTGGGAAATCAAAAAAATGGTGTCAAACCCGTGGGAGTGGCTTTTATTTCCCAGTGTGGTGTACTGCACTGCAATTTTTGCATCAGAAATAATCTCTGGAAGTGATTGCTGCCCCTCTTTAGCACCATCTACCCAGGCAGGGTGTTTGCTTAAGTGTCCCGGGATCCCGGAGTGACGCGAGTCTTGTGTTTTGGCACAACTTGAATCTTCTCAGTTGTGCAGCTTGTGCCTCTGCACGAGGGCTTCAGGTCACTGCTGGATACAAATTAAAAACACATTTCCATCATGCTGGTTCTGGTAGCTCTTGGTCTAAGAGAGGTGTTAGTTTAATGGTGTGAAGCAGCCTTTACAGATTGCCTCGCTATGCAATCACAGAGGAGAAATGTAAACAGCAGAAATCTAACACTGTGAAAATACATGAAAATTAATTTCCCTCCTGCTCTGCCTAAATGGTAGGAATAATACGAGTGTTTGGTGCTCCCATGTTCTAAGCAGGAAACAAGCAGTACCACCCTGAATGAGAAGTTTGTCCATTGTACCTAACTAATTTGTGTGCAGGAAACTGCAGTGACTAGATGAAGACGTTCTCAAACTACATTTTGCAGCAGAAAAGGACAAACTTTGATGGCTTTTATGCTGTTCTAATTTTAGTACAAATTCATTTACAAGGAAAATACTCGCTTGGAAATTATTGCTGGAGGAAGACAATAAAAGCTTAGCTGCCTTAATTTGGAAGCAATATCTGAACTGGATGTATTTCATGCTTCAAATAATTTAAGTGGCTTTTATCATATGAAATCTCATGAAAAATGTTAGACACTTTTGCCTTGGATACAATCCAGGACAGTTCATCTGAATTATCTCAAATCTCGTATTCTTATTCAGCACAGTGGTTAAACTACATTAAAAATTTTTGTAAATGCTTCCATTCAAAATTGAAGTGAATGTAACTTGTTTGAAGTTCTCCATGTGAGACTCAATGTAATATATTCCATTTAAAAACATCATGAAAGGAAGCAGTTGATGAGATACTATAACGTATCTCTTTGAGTTGTTGGTTCATACCTCCAAAAGGAGGGGAGGGGTGAAGATCTTTAGTACTGAATAGAAGTATTCACACAGAAAATTAATGCAGAATAGCCACTGCACATGTAGCAGCCATTTCATGCTAATTTTTGTATGACTTCCCAGTGCAGACAAGGCTCTAGTTACTTCAGATGAATTGTCATGGGATCCCTGTATGGACAAGCTCTTGCTGTATGGAGCTGAGGGAGTCAGGAAATACTGGAACACTGCCTTTTTTTCTTTTTGACATTTTTCCCTCCTTCTTTACAGACTTGCTGATTGAGATCACTCAAGGGGGGCTGAACTACTTAATATTCTGCTAGCTATTTCCTTAGAAACTGATTTAGCTGTGAAATCATTAACTGCCTCCTTAGGCTCCATCCTTTTTACTAGAAATGTAGTTTAGTTACCATAACCTGATATTGGGCAGAGAAACTTTCCATGTCTGCCAACCTCTTTTCACATACTTTTCACACCCCTCTCACTTCTGCTGTGTTTTATTGTTTACTAGTAAGGAATTGTGTCCCTGCTTTATCCTTCAGCTGCCTCAGTTTCCCATTGATTCGCTTTCACTTGTGAAATCAAGAGTTCTATTTGTTCTCTACTTGAAGTCTATGTTGCATATTGCTCTTTAAAGTGAAATCTTGGTAGTATTCAGAAGAAGAAATCTTAAGTCCTTGAAAAAGCCAAGTACTGAAGACCTCTCAGGCCCATTTCTACAGTCTTTTTCTTTAAGTGTCATGGTGGTATTTTGGGTCTTCAGACTGCAGGGAGTTATGGTTTCCTTTCCTTGGCTCTTTTATTGCAATAGGAGAAAATGTTATTTTCAAATACGTCTGCTGTCAGCTGGTTTGGGGGAGCTACAGTCAAGCAGTTAAATTACATCCTTAGTAATGGTTTGCAATAGGAAATATAATAAAATAATTTCAGTCTGTACTTTGTCATTACAGGCAATTAGAAGAAATTAGAATTTACCCATATTAAACTTTTTATACTGTAAGCATTCACCTTGCATTCTCCTTTCTCCTCCAGGCCAGAAAACAGTTCCTGTCACAATAGGCATGAGAAGCTGCAGTCTCCACCGAGTGGTCCTTCTTCCATTTGTGGTGGGAGCCAGTCCAGCATTTCTGACTTCTGCATTTCCCCCTCATGTAAGGATGGTCTGTAGATGCTGTTCTTAATTGCTGATGTCTTCCTTGACAGGAGCAGGTGTAGGGGGCCTGGACTGTGTGCTGTAGATTGGGGAATTTTTTAGTGTAGTGAGGAAATGGCCCTCTGTTTATAGAGCCTGGGTCAGTCTGCAGGACCTTGGGGCACATGGCAGATTCAGCTCAAGCTGAATGAATGGCCACAGAAGGTAACGTGTGGTCAGCAGACAGCAATGGTCTCACTTGCCTCGCTCCATCTTGCTTCCTGTGGGAGTGCCGAAGATCAAACCCAGAGCTTCCGATGTGTGAAGGGTACTCTGCAATGTCCCCTGCCCAGGGAAGGAGCTGCAGCCAGAGACAGTGCACTTCCCAACAGGCAAAGCCCCTTGCTTGATCAAATATACCCTTGTTTGGATCTAAATGAGTCACTGTCTGCTGGCACCTGCAGGCTCTCTTGGCTGTATCTCAGTGTCAGAGCTGAAGGCAGCTGCAGTTATCTGCTGAGATTTGCAACTGCATTTGGACCATCCAGGGCTGTGGAGGATGGGCAGCCCAGTGCTGTGTGGCTGCATTGTGGGTGATGCTGCTAAACATTCTGCCCTTGCAGCTTCAGCTGAAATGAGTGCAAACTCAGCTGGGCCTGAGAGCTCAGAAACGTGTCATGGGTTTTTAAAGGTTACAGCCTTCTGAAATACTCGATTACTGAACTTCTGATATCCACGAAATCATGGAACTTTGGATATGGGAGTTTCAACCTTCCTGCAAGGGTTCATTAACATTTCCAATTACAGATCTAAGGCAAAATGTTCAGTAGTCGTAGATAAAGGATCTTGCATCATATCCGGGACAGAATTATTAATAAGTTCAGGCAAAGTGTGCCTTTTCTTTTCTGGAAAATATGCTTTGAAGCAGTAAAGGAATAGCATACTTTTTATTTTCTCTTCTATTTTTTTTAAATTTCCTAAAGGAAATGAAAAGGATTCTGAGAAAAGTAACTGAGGTCTTGCAGACAGGAATTCACTTGCGTAATGCCTAGAGCTGATAAATGTAACGTGCAGAAGGAGAGGAGGATAGGAGCAGGAGAAGCTCCTGGTCAGGATGGGCACTTGGGTTCTTGCTGTTGTGTAGCAATGAGAGCTGCTGTTCTTGGCCTCGCTGTGCACGGTAACACCTTGAGTACAGCTCAGAGGGTTTGGCTGGCAAGGGCAGCAACTCGCACCAGCAAAGGTTGTAAACCAAGCAAAAGCATACTGACTGGGCAGTTTTCCTGCAGAGGGAAAAAAAGAACAGATTTTTACATATCTGTGCTTTGTAAAGGAAATTAAGCCATGTAGTTCTCACAGGTATTCCTATTTGGTGTTTTAAAGTGTAACTGGATGCAGTTCCTAAGGTATTATGCAGCCATCCAGAGCCCAAGTGAACCAGATTTTGATATCTTTCTAGTGAGATGCATGCACTTACCTCTGTCACTTTTGCTGTGCTGCTGATGCTGTCTTATAGTTTGTTTTGTAGACATTTGTGAAGAGGTTTAAACAGGCAGCCTGAGTCAGTCAGCAACGTAAATGTTAATTTTTGATGAATACTGATTTAAAGCCTTCATGCTGCAGATATTTCTGCCAGCTTACATGTTTCATTTTCAGAGCTTTGCTTGTAGCCTTTGTTTAAAACAGTCTGTCATCTGCTTTCAGTCAAAATTATATGCAGGTGGCTACTAATAAGACCACTAGATTATATTCTTTTCCTGTAGAAAAATCTTTGAGGTCAGAATATACAACATATCACTAGTTTATATGCATTATACATGTAAAAAGAGAAATAATTTGTGTGTGTGACAGAGGAAATTCTTCCTATAATTAATCCAGGCTATAAAATAACATTGAGCTGCTTGAAAGATGGCCTAAGGTTTGTTTCAGGTTTTTGCAAGTTGCAGTGACAGATGTGTTTGTCTTTCATATCTTTTGGGATTTAGAAATGAGGTAGAAAAGAGAGCCTGCACTGCTGGACTCCCTGGTTGTTATGTCAGTGACAGGACTTTAATCCTGCAGGGTGATAATTGAGCTGGGTCTTTGAACATCTTCACTTTTCCAAAAGGCAGTGGAGATTGTAATATTTAAATAGGAAAGGCTTTAGTTTAAGACAATGGAAAATAAGGCCTTTCTCTTCTGTTGCCTTCTAAGACACAGCAGGGATCAGAAATTTGTAAAAATAATGGTACTGCCTCTAGAGGCTTTCATCATGCTCAGAAGGCCAGACATCTCTGCTGTGCAATAAATATGCTATTTATTGACTTTTGATCTCAGTTTAATGATCGTACTGCAGTAGCAGGAACCTGCTGTTTCAGAATATTTATTTCCTAGCATCACATGAGTACTTTGGCACTCAGTTTCATGCAGCCTAGTTGTGAAATGAATAGTAAGAGACAAAGAGTGAAAAAAAAACAAAAGTAAAAGCTTCATATGAACAATTAACCTTGTCAAGGGGCTATCTCAAGGAGGCTAAGTTTAGCCTCAAGGAACCTTGATCCTCTTTTGTTCTCTAAAAAAGAGCATAGTTCTTAATGTCCTCTTGGAAATATTTAGTTGTTCTTGAATTGGTCTGGGTCCATCCTCTCCTCTTTTATCCTTTGGTTAAGAATCAATAATTCTTGCACTCTTTTAATTTTTTGTCTCCTGTGAGCAGAAAACTTGTGGACCAAAGATGAATCCTGGTCATCTTCCTACTCTTATTATGCTGAATGCCAGACAGAACATGTGCTGGGCAGCAAAATGCCTGTCTGAGAGTGACCTGATCTGCATTTTTATCAGCATGAGAGAGCAAACCAGGACAGCAGCCTGTCCTGAGCATGGCAGGAATGGAGCTAGGGATTTTCCCTAAAATTTCATAGAACTTGAACATCTTGGTAGCCTTGTGATTCTAAGCAAACTGAGTGTTCTTTACTTCCCTATTAGTGTAAGGCAGAAATTGAGTCTGACAGAAGTGTAAAACATTTTTTGTCTTTAGTGGCCCTATTACTGTGGTGGATATGTACAGGCAACTGCAAGGGGTTGTGTTCCTGTGGCTTTAATGAGATATTGGACATGGCTGATGTTAACTGGGGGTCTACGTGCTCCTATCCCATTGCAAGTGCACACTGTAGCCAGTTTTATTTTCCAGCTGCAAAGGGCTTAAATTATTACACTTGCAGCTGTTTTGCTCAGGTGATGAGCCATAATACACTCTGCCACCCAACCTCGATAGTCTGCCAAAACCTCAAGGTTTTCTTCATACAGCAGGAACTGTGACTTGATTGTATTTCTAATAAAACTGTAATGAGACAACTCCTCACTGAACTTTTCTTTTTTAAACAGCAGTTGAAATGAAGTCATCTGAAGTATTTGCATCAGGCCATAGAATGGACCAACACATCCCAGCTGGTGATACCTTGTCTTCTCGATCTGCTGACTTCACTGAGGACAAAGTAAATGGTCAATCACATAGGTATGATCTAGCCAGGGGAAACTTAAAACTATGAGAGGAGTCTGACAGGATTTACCAGCTAATTCCATGCTGCTGTAAAGACAATCTGTGAAGTCATTTGATGTATGATACAGTCTGGCCTGAGACAGCTGTGGTGGTGCTTGCCAAACAAAATACCCTTTGCTGGGCCAGAGGCAGCTGTTCAATTTCTAAGCATCTGGTTCAGAATGGGAGAAGTTTCAAGCAAGACATTATTAATGAACTTCACATGTATGCTCAACATGGCCTTCTGAAAAGAAAACTTCATGATTGCTTCCTTAGATGACTCAACACTTGCCTCTGAAAATCATTTATTAGTAAATAAATAGGTAGGACTGCAGGAACAGGACAGGAATGCAGAAGGAAGAAAAATAAAGCATTTAAGTGGATTAAGAGTTTTTAAGCTGACCAGAGTCCCTCATTTATGCACTAGATGGGTATGGCAAAAGAGGCAAAGTTATGAGATCACAGAGCAATGGGATCAACTCTTCCTCTAAATTATTCTTGTAAAATTAAAGGTTGTTCTCTCCTTATCCTGCTTATCATGTTCACCCTGAGCCCTCTGTGAAGCCTTTGTCATGTGTACAACTGTGAATTTATATCTTGGATGAGAACTAGGAATTAATTAGCAATTGGACCAAAGTTTTCAGGGCCTGCACGTGTCCTTCAGACATTAACAGCTTTTTCCTACAGCTAATTAGATTGGGCCAAGTTTAAAACAGTGTAGACAAATTTTAAAAGCAAATATGTTCCAGAACTAAAACACAGAATGGGTGGAGATGCATTAAAGGGAAGGTTTTACCAACTCTTTAAGTACTTGGTTTTTCAGAAGTGCTTGGTTATTTGTGTCAATTACAGCTCTAGTACTTCTGAAAGATTCTGTGTCTACAACTTTGTTTCCTTCAGGCCTACAGATGCCAGTGTGTGATTTTGGGTTTTTTGTGGGGTTGGTGTGCCGTTGGTTTTGGGATTTTTCCCAACCAAACAGTTCTGCTGTTTCCATGGTGATATCTGATAAATTATATGAATTATTACTGGTTTAATTTCTGTTGTCCATTATCACAGTAGCTAAGCACATAATAGAAATACAAATAGACAATAAAACATTATGGCAGATTTGTTTGCTTTGTGGTGGAGAGAGGGATATTATTTTTCAGCCTTGGCTTCCAGGAAGCAAATCAAATTGGCAGCATCTTGTCCCCCACCTTAGTGAGACGCTTTGCTTTTCTACACAACGTGTTATAGAAAAGGTGTGTTCCCAGACATTTTTAATATTTGTTCACAATGTATGTCTAAATCTCAGGATGGATTTTATAGAAGTGAAGGCACAGGTGCAGTGTGCTGCAGAGGAAGATCATATCTTTTCACTGTGTGTTTCCTCAGCATGCATACAGTAATTTGGATTTCCAAATGAAGCCTCGAGTTACAGATAAAGGAATGCAGCCATTCATAGTCAAAGAGAGCACAGGGTTTTCTGTGTCAAGAGTCTTTTGTTAATATGTTGGTGTTGCAATAGCTAGACCTGCCTTTTCATTCTTTCACTTCTGGATGCAGGCTATAATTTGTTTGCAAAACAAACAGGACTAATAAATCTCTGCTTTGCTCATAGTTTTGTCCACTCTAAGAAATGTCTCCTTCCTGGAGGCAAATACCTTTTAGGCAGATACCAAGACCTTCCTAGAAGAGGTATGTATGAGAAGAGGAGGGCTGAGCTGGGTTGTAGAAGTAGTCACTTCTCTTTCCCCTCTTCCTTAGAAGTATAAATGGGGAACTTAACTGCACAGAGATGAGTGAAATGATGCAAAATCAATTGGAGAGGAGAATGAGACCTTAGTAGTGACTGTTCTGCTGCAGTTGTTTTATTTCCAGGGGACCAAATGATTGTTCCAGCTGATGCAGGTCAAACTAGCAGTTGGTCTTGCATTAATATTCCCTGTTGCATTTGATCATGTGAGAATATAGCTCTGTTGTGCTTTTTAGCCAATTAAGGATGAATTTGTAACAGACTTCAGTCTATAATTGTGGCTGACTGAAAAAGGGTTTTTTTTGTATTGTGACTTGGTCCAGTATCATCATGATAAAAAAGATCTTAAACTCTGCAGGACATTCTTATATCTCTATTAGCCTTGCTTTTCTGATAATCTGCTAAAAATGGCCAAAAGTCCCAGTGTATTCTTGGAGAAAATGGTTTAATTAATCTTTCTATGTTCAAGTCCTGTCTTATTTCCTGGTTGATTATTTGAATCCCAGTGTCAGTCTGTTGTGCACTTTATAAAAAAGTAGACAAATATTTCAGTTATAGACAATTATTTCAGTTTTTACAAGTAAACAGTTTTCTTTCTCAGTGCAAATGCAAGTTTTTGTGTGAGTTTGCTGTAGGTTTGGGTATTTTTATTTGGTTGGGTTTTTGTTTTGTTTTTTCTTTGAGCACACCTTTTCATCAGTGACTCCTTTACCAAATGCTGAAGAACGTTGCCCACAGTAGATTTTGCTTGTTCTTTCTTCAGCTGATCAGCTTTTAAAGAATAACAAAAAGGAGCTGTAGGTATTATCCTGAGGATTAGTTATTTTCTGTTGATCTTAACCTGAAAAGATGAAGTGGTTCTGTGGTACTTGAACACATGGGGAGCCAGATCTGCTCTGCATCCTCTGAGAAAAACAAGAGGGTGTTTACAACTTTATAGTTTTTGCTACCAGCCTATTTCATGTAATCCTTTCCTGAAGAGCTGGCACAGATGTGAACCGTTTTGTGTGAGAACTGTGTATCTCTTTCCTTGGTAAAGTGATGTGACTGTGGTTGCATTGCTTTGCTCTGTCACTAGTCTGGCTGCTGAGGTTAATGCCCTGAAACTGGAGATGGTTTAATGTCTATAAAAGCTCTTTTTTAGTGTATGGGAATGCAAATCCAGGGGTTTGTTATCTGTTGTTGAATAAGGAATTAAAAAACCCTCATTTGTGGCTCAAAAACTGCCTTGAGGCTGGTGAATCTTTCTTTTTAATTTACCTAAGAACATCATAGTAAACATAACATTACGAAGAGCACTAGTGAATTGAAAACCCAATTAATTTGAACTAACCCACTTTACCAAAGTGAGTTAAGTGACAAAAAAAGCAATAACAATGACACTGCTATATGGAGATAAAAATTCTTAAATATCTCTGTGGTCCATGCCTTGAGGTTTTATCCAGCCAGTCTTATTTTTTATATTTACTAGTCTTTTTCTGCTGCTATCTGCCACATGCTCCTTTGAAGCTCAGACAAGTGTTAACACTTGTAATACTCATAGGTGGAAGGCTGCAGAGATGGTTCTTAGCAGAGCAGTTAGCACTTCTCTGCTGTTAGCAGTTGGCACTTCTCTGCCCTTAATAGTTAACATATACCTATGTAAAATGCAGACAATAATGCTATTTAAAATACGAAAGGCCACTTGCTCAAATCTCCCTGGAAAGTAAAGCAGAGCTATGGAAGGGCTAATCAGCACTGACTCAGCAGCATTCCCAGGGGAGGAGGGAGATTAAGTATCTTGAAAATCCTCCTAATCACCCTTCTGATGGTCACAAAGGGTTCTTTTCATGGAGGTAATAACGGGGACTTTCTATTTTAATCGCCGATTTTTAGATGGCACCTATTTTTTTCGATGTCCTGCTTTTGGCTGTCTTATTTCCCGTTTTTAATATGATTAAGTTTTCATGTAGCTGTTACTTTACTTCTGCTTTTACTGTTTACCTTTTCTCTTTTAAGAGAAAATCGACTCACTAGTGTAAACACTAATTTAAATTCAGAATTATTTTAGAGACTTGCTAGTTCCTGGTAGCCTCCATTTTTGTAATTGGGGAAAAACTATATTTATGCTGGGGGCAAGAAAGGACACTGTATCCTCACACAGTAATTGACTAAATTTTAAAGAATGGTGTTTTTGCAGCACATGCAGACTGTGAAATAGCAGCACCTGGTTTACGTTCTCAGTGTGAATAAGGAACTCTATGTTTAGGGAATTTTTTTTATAGATACCATCACAGCTCTTTGCTCTTTTGACAAAGCCTTCAGGGAGTTCTACAAATATTATCTCAGACAGGAGCCAGGGAAGCTGCCTATGTCTGCCAAGATTGACCTATACCTGGAAGAAATTGTGGTGTCTGTGCCCTAAAAGGATGTGTTCCTGTGCTGTAGCAAATCTCTGTATTTTTTGCACCCCAGAATGAGTCACTGGATGTGATAAACAAAACAGAAAACAAACTAAAGATTGGTTCCTGGTTTGCAGGGAATTTAACTGAACCTCTTCACTCCTGTTGTGGGAAGAGTGGGGTTTGAGTAGGATGGACAGGTCAATAGGGCCAGGTTAGAGGCTGTGCAGTGAGCATATGCACAGTACCTGAGGTGCCATGTTCCTTTCCATTTGCAGTCTCCCTGAGGTCTGAGCACCTGCTGGGCTGTCACAGCACATACTGCAGGTTTCACTTGGTTGCAGACTTGCTATGCATACATATTTCTCCTTGCATTGCTAACCCTTTCCCTCTCCTCCTCCAGGGAGTTTGCTTTAGCCTTCACCAGCAAACCCAAGATCCCTCGCACTCCTGACGGGCAGAGCACCAGCCCTAGAAAGGGAAAGGTCCCAGCCATTGCCCCCCAGTTCTCCCAGTCTGGACCCCAACAAACAAGCCATCCAAGATCATCAGCATCATCCACAAGGAGTAGACAGAGTAAGTGGAAAATGTCATGGTTCTGTTTGTCATTCCTTGGGGTGGGAAAGGAGGGAGCATTGTAGAAACTCTTCAGGAATGAAGTCGTAGGCTACAAATGTGCCAGGAGTGTATGACATTGTACTTGTCATCTGCAGGATGTACAACCATGTAATTATATCCTGCTGAACACTGCTCCTATTTCCAGACTGTCATGTGAGCAGCTAAAAGACATGCTTTTTCCTGTCTTGGGTGGAGAAAAGTGGCCCAAATTCTTAGGAGTTTTTGGGGAAGCTTATTAGTCTCAGAATAGAACTTCTCTAGATGTCATCAGAGTTTTTCCTTTTCTTTAGACACTTGTTCATCCCACTGTGTAACTTGAAGTCGGATCCCTGGGTGTGTCTACAGTGCAGCTGAATGTAGAGCAGATGTCAGGCAGCTCAGGAGATGGCTCAGGGCAGCTTGGTAAGCAGAGAGCCAGGCACAGTGTGCTGCTTATGGCAGTCTCCTTTCTGCTGGAGACTGGTACTCAAGAACCACGTGGCCATGCTGTGGCCTGCAAAAGTTTATAAAAAGAGCTTCATGTCAGGGGGGGGTTCAGAAGAGAGGGTGGCTTTGACTTGAGGATGGAGGAAAATGATGGACACTTGCTTTGAGCCAGGCAACGCAAGCTTAATACAAAGGAAAAACTGATCTTGGATGCTCCACATGTGGCATGTCAGCTGTGGAGTTTTTTGGGGTGGAGGGGAAAGAAAGGTGCATTCTTCAGTAATGAATTTTTCCCAGGCATGTGGATAGGAAAAGCTGGATTCAAAACAGCTCTGTGTCCATCATCAGTGAAAATGGCAGGAGCAGATGCATCATAACAAGTTTAGTGATGATTATTTGATCACAATGTAACATCAGCTCTATTCTTTAGCTGTAACCGTTACCTTGAAACATTTGACAAAAGCATAGTAAGTCAATACCTTCCCAAGAAACTCAAAATGTGTGTGTATCATTAGCTACTCATTACAGATAGGGAAAGTGAAATGAAAAGAATTTAAATAACCCAGTAAATCAGTAACAGAGCTGGAAAGAGCATTCTGAATTCTGTGTTGCTCATTCATTGTTCCACACAGTTGCATGTACAGAGAAGTGGTGTGATTTTGTTCAGGGAGTACAGGTGAGGCATTGGAAGGGAATGTTCTTGGTGGTGAAAGGAGGTTTTGACCTGGAGGCTTCTTGCTTCAACACTCCTGTGCTGAGGTAACACAGCTCTTTCAGCTTTACCTTTGCTGGATGTGGCCCGAGTTTTACCTCTGACATCAGTGCTCTCTTGTTTCCTGCCACAGCAGCACTGTTCTGCCCTGACTGGATGTGGTGTTAACACCCAAGAGTCTGCCCCTGGTTCCTGTTTCGGTTCATTTCCAAAAGCACTGGCCCATTGAAAAGAAGCCCTAGTGAAGAGAGGAAAAGCACAGAGTGTGTGTGTGTGTGTGTTTGTGTGTGTACACAAAAAAACTTCTGCATGTTCTAGTTTCTCCAGGGCAGCTTTACACTCCTGGGGAGAGCATCCTAGGAAAGATGTGCCATACCAGTGTTGCTTTCAAGAGGCTCTGGAGCAAGATCCTTTTCCAGTGGCACAGTGTTAAATGTATTTTATTTTTAAATTGCTTTAAAGTAGATCACTTGTGTTTCTCTGTGGATTGAGTATATGTGATCTGTCAAGTCCAGATACCTGAGCTCTTCTAAATTGTATTGTTTTATTTGTTTTACACTATACCTTTTCTCTTGGCTGGGAATGTATGCTGAATGTATAATAGACATCCCAACTTGCTGTGTGTCCATTTTAACTTTTCTTCCAATTTTTCACCTGAGATTCCAGGTTTTCATTTTCTATCTGTCCACATGTGCCACGAGAAAGTATCAGCAACTGAATGTTAAACTCTCCCTGCTAAAACTAGCAAACAAATTATTTTGCAAACAACTAATCTTCCACTCACTCTCTGTACATGTATCCAGCCTTGTCATCTGCTGTCACAGAGCATCTATTAGTTCTTGTCCATCCTGCAGGGGCTTTTACACAGGTGTTTATAGGTGGGAAGAGTTACATGAAGGTTGTAAGGACCAGGTTTTTAAAGGACTAAAAAGGGTTTTAAGCACCTACACTGGAACTTAGGGTTCTCAAAAGTAATTCTCAGCTGTTACTTAAAGATGCAAGGAAGGGGTCTGAAGCAGGTGAGCCCCTAATGTTTCCCTAGTAAAGCTCTGTCCTTACTGCTCCTTTAACTTTGTAGCTGACTCATCTGCAGGTCAAAAATGGTATCAGATGCACAGATAACAGCAATCAGTAGATTCCAGCAGTTGCTGCCTCCCATTTGCCTGCTGCATAGATATGTAGGGTTTTACATATCAAGAGACTCTGTTCCAGTTTTGGTATTTCTGGAGAAAGGCAAGTTTGTACAGCTGATGGACATGATGAGAAAAAGATGACTTTCTGATTTTACTTGATGCATTCTCTAATTTTAGAGGCACATTTTTAGCTTTATTTTAGTATTTATTGCAGGTGTATTTTCTGGAAACAAGTTGATTTGTGTAAACCTACCTGAACTAGCTGGACCACTCCTCTTGGAGCATGGAGTGTGTGGAATGCCTGAGGAATGCAGAGGAAGCCCAGGTACTTAGTGCAGCTCCAGGCCTGGGGCCAGATTCCTGCCCAACATGCAGCCCCTGCTGTTAGCTGAACTCTAGAGCAAAAGCAAGCTCCTCCAAATAAAACCAGCCATGCTGGAATCAATCCTCTGTGATTTCCATTTCCAGGCTGGCACAGGGATGACACTGGCAGCATGGCTAGAAGACAGGGTTCCACGGGGAGCATAGGCACCTCCAGATTTAGACCTTTTCAACTGTATTCCATGTAGACATGGTTGTGTGGTTTAATCCACTCTGATCCTTATTCTCTGTCTGTTCCAGGCAACTCTGCATGGACGTGCTGAAGCTGTTTGCAGTGCACCAAGTTATGTCTAAGGCACATTGGAGCTAGGGCAGTACAAAAATCTCTACCAGAGGAATGGGGAATGATTTTTGTCCAGAGTGCAACTGGGCCCTGGTGATGCCCTTTCAGTTCTTTAAATATCCCCTGAAAAGGGGTTGCCAGAAATACATTCTGCAGTTTTAAATGGCAGCATCATGAGTTAAAGTGCCTTTCTGCATGTTTTTTGTGATGTTTGTGTCCCTGTACAAGTTGAACAAGTGTCACCCTCAGGCAGCTTCTGTCTTGTAATAAATCCTGCTTTCAGCTGACAGACTCTTTCTTTATGTTTTTCTGCAGGCAGCCAGTCCTACAGGAAGTGAGAACAGTTCCTTTCCTCGAGAATCACCTGTCACATTGTCGAAGGACAGAGCCAGCTTCCTGTAATGAGCTTTACTGGTGACCTACAGAGGAGAGTGAGGTTGTTGACACTGCAGGCCTTGCACAGGGATTCAGGATTATCTGATGGGATGTGTCTGTGGTCTCTAGAGCTGGCTAAGACAAGGGCCTTGTTATTAGAATTCGAGGTCTCAGCAGCAGCCCAGGACTGACATGGGAGATGGATATTTTCTGATAGTTTACTCTAAAGTGACATTGAGAAGAAACTCTTTGAGAATAAACTCCTTGCCTTCTGTGTCAGAGGAAATGGCCTTTGGAAACAGAATGTAGGCTCAGCCCAGGAGTCTTACCAAGCAACTGTATTCTTTATGTATTGCTTGCTGAAGCAGCCTGCCAATTGCTTTTTGTAAAACTTTGCCTGTCTGGCCGGATTGGGAGGTATCTGTGTTCAAAGGATCTGCGTGAAGAGGGGCAGTGTCTGCCACACGTGCAGAGCCTTCCTGCCCAGAGCAGTCCTCTGTGGGGCAAGATCTGCATGGCCTCCAGACCCTGAAGAGGAAAATACCTATTTTATCAACTTCTGGTTGACCTGTAGTAGATGAAAAATGCTGTTACAGTGTCCAGTGCAGCATCCATGCTCATCTCTGAGGTCTTTCTCAGCAGCAATTGCTCCTATTCCTTCTTTTTGCTTTTTTTTTTTCATAATTCTACTGTTTAACATTTGTGGAATGAAAAATCTATTTTTTTCCCCTGGAATGAAGAGCTTTGCTTCTTCATTCATAGAAGAAACCATGAGAATGTGAACAGATCAGAAGCAACTTTCTCTTTACATGTAACTGCTCCATCTTCTTTAGTCTTTGTTACTTTTTTTATGTTCTTCACTTCAGAGCAATGACTGTGTATGTCTTTATGGAATTTGTGTTGGTCTTTGGTGCATACGAAGTGCTGGCTAGACAAGAGAGGTCAGGAATCCTTCCACTAAATAAAAAAGCAGCATTTCATTCTGCCAGTGAATTACAAAGCTAGTGCTGTTTGTTATTCTTTCTCTCAATGGTAACAGTGACCAGGAAACACCAAAGTCTTCAATGGGGGTTGGCTTTTCAGCAACACCCCCTCATGTGACAGCTGTTAGGACACATAAATGCAGTTTACATTGGAACTTGGCTGCTACTGAGGCAGTGATGTACAAAAAGCAGACAGTGTATTTGCCATAGTCAGAGTTCAGAAACAAATGTCCTAATGAGTACGAAAACGGAGAAGGTAGGGCTTTGGTTTTGGAGTTTCACCTTGAGAAGCAAACAATTGAAACACAACCTGAAAGGTGGAGCAGCTGCTATAGTGATACTGCCTTCCCCTAAAGTGTTGTAAAGCCATTTCCACAGAGCCAGAAGAAAGCTTTTTGCTTCTGACAAGGCGTTGAATTGGGCCTGTTGCTCTGTGGTGGCAACTGAAGAGCCAAGGTCACGGATGTCATTGCCTCAGAGCCACTGGGATCAGCGATGCTGTGTCAAATGTTGGCAGAAAGGGCTCTCACACACAAGTTCAGGAAACCCCTTTGGATGGACTTTAAATTGGAATGGAGGTGTTTTGTAGAAGACCTCCTGTAGCTTAAAATCCAGTCTATTCATGTGGAAGATAGAATTTACTACTCAGTAACACCAACCTAACACCTAACCTAACACTACCTAAGCAGGCAGAGTACTGGTGTTGCTTTAGCTCCCAAACTACACAGGACATGAAGTGATTGTAGCCACTTGATAGCCTCTGTCACACAGATCCCCACACCAGACAAAGAAGTCACAGAAAATCTCTGGCTTGTGCTTAGATTCATCTGCCTCCTCTGAGAGCTGATAAACACAACTGATGGGAAAATATCCTCTGGTTCTCAAAAAGGCAGTAATGGAAAACAGCCATAAAAGTTCACCTCCTGCCCCAACAAGGTAGGCAGAATTTCCTCTGAAATTCTGTTTTTTTTCCAGCACATAACATCAACAGCCAAGTTAACACTGATGTGCTGAGCAGTTCATTTGCATACATGAATAACACAGAATGCTCCCGTAGCCGAGTTTTATTTATCTTACAGAGTGCTGAGTTTTGTGTTGGATCTATGCTATGTTCATGCTAGATCTGGTGCTGTAAGATGGGGAGCGCCTTTTGAAAAGTGTTGAGAGCAGACAAAATTTTTTGGGGGGGGGGGGGAATAACAACTCCAAAACCTCTCTGATTTTATTTATGAGCTGAGGTAAAAACTTCACCACCCATTGCCAGACACCCAAAGGTGGTTGGTAGTTGTGGCAACTGCTCCAGCAGATCAAGATTCATGAAAACCAAAATGCATCTTGCTGAGTTGGACTGAAAGGAACAAACAAAGGAAGTGTGTGTGTTTGTAATGTGCAAGCCTGCTGCAATGCAGAGCTCCACGTGCATGGTTTCCCATGTTCTCTTAGCTGTGTGAGTATGGAGTTCAAAATCCAAGACTATTTTTGTATTAATGCATGAGAATCTTAATTTTCCAAATACCTGGGAGAAACTGTGGATGTGCTTAGAATTAAGTTACCAGCTGAACAGTAATTTGAGAGGCTGAGGAAGTAATATGTCCTCCTTTCCTGTGTCTTATTCACAAATAAGCTGCTGTGATGGCAGTCAGAAGATCTGAAGCTAATGAAAAATGTCAGTTCTGCCTTTGTTCATAGGACTCCACTGTTTGGGGTGGAAAGGTCCCTGAATGGAGGTCAGTAGCACACACATAGCAAATTCAGCACCTCACTCTCAAAAGTTGTTGGGTGTCTTTTGTGTGAGCCACGAAGGGGCAGCTGCTAGATTCATCACCTTCCTGGGGAATCCATAACAGGAGCAGTGGAAATTGCTGCCCCAGTGGGAGGGGTGTGATTGCCCTTAGAGTGGCTGTAATTTCTTTCACAAAAAGCAAATAAAATTACTGCAAATGACACACGGATCTGCAAGGAAAGCTTTTCCGGGACCAAAGTCCTAAGTGCTGCTACCTTTTGGATGTAACTACTGTAGATTCAGTGTCATTTTATTTATGCAGAGTGTTATTTGATACTGTGTAAGTCTGTTGAAGTTTCCATGGAGGGCTCATTCTGTATGAGTGGCTAAAAATTATCTATCAGTGTCTAGATAAAAATGCTCCTAAAGGGTTTTTTTTCCCTTTTTTTCTTTTTGATATATTTGGTTTGGGAGTCATGCAATTTTTTTGGTGTGCATTTCTTTATATTTCACTGTGGTTTATTACTGACAAATTCTGTCCCTAACAGTTTTTATCTCCATCTAAGTGGAAAACACAGCTCCTTTCAGTTCAGCCTGGCCTGCCTCTGCAGAGGTAATGTTGTTTACTCAGAAGTGTTGCAAAGCAGGCATGAACCACTCATTGTTTGTGGTCTCTCATGAGGAGAGCCCAGGCATGTGGGATGCCACCAACGACACCAGGTTGGTGTCAGAAGTGTTATTTGTTGTACAATTTAAGTGTGTAAGGGAAGGCAACAAGGAAGTTATCTGGAGGGAAAATATTGTTGTGATGGGGAGGGCCAGTGGTTGCTTGGTTTGGCTTTGAGTTGTCCCTTTAAACAAAGTTTCATTAATCTTTATAAACCATGGTGGAGATGGCAGTGCAGAGATAAAGAGCTCTGTGTGGTGTTCATGCACGTCTTGGCGTAGTGGTGGCAGAAAAGCAAACACGCTGCCTTCCTTGCAGGTGTTTAATCATATCCAGACTTACTGTTTAGCTCGGGGCTTGAATTTAGCTTTGAGACAGAACTTCATGGCAGTTTGGACCATCCTTACACTTGCTTGCAGTCTGACTGAATATTGGAACAAGCACTTTCCAGGGAGAGGAAATGTGGGAGAGTTGGGGATGCTCCTTGCTTGGCTCTAAGGAAGGATTGTGTGAGCCCTGCCAGGCACCCCGGACACCTCCTGTGCTGTTGGGCCCCTGAGCTGGAGGAGGTGTGTGGGCATGGCAAGCAGAGAGGATCTATGTAATTACAGCCTTGCAAACCTCCACTGATCCTCTGGGAATCCAGTACCAAAATACCTCTGTGACTGAGCCATGTGGACTTCTCTGGGCTAGGCTGCACTTTCCCAACCTATTCATAGAAATTGTGAAAGGAGGGAGACTCTGGAGAGTTTTACTGACAGGTGAGAAATAGCAAGATGTTTCAAGACAAACAAAACAGACTGAGACCAGACTGTTCTGGCCAAGCTATGGCAGTCTGCTGCTAATGGACTTGAAAAAGAAACCAACTTCTGGGTGCAGAACATAGAACATTGTCCTACTGTGTTATCAGAGCAGTAATTCTGTAGCCTGACATCTTGTCAGGAGTTGGGATCTGATATTTCAAAGCAAGTTTCCTCCCAACTCCAGGCTGCTTTCTACCCTGCAGTAACATTGTATTCAGTTACAGCATCACGATCCAAATTTCCACTTTTTGAGGACCTGGTGCTCTCCAAACAGGCTCAGTGGCACACCCTAGGACATCTAATAACTTTCTGGAACATGTCCTCCTTTTAGTACAAGTTCTCTCAGCAGTTTTTGGCATATGGTCCAAGTTTCCAAGAAACTGGGGCAGTAATTGATGGCAGTGAAAGTGAGAATGCTTCACATAAGCAGTAAGAAACCAGGTGACAACTTTATTGTTTTGTTCTTCTTCAAATATGGGAAATGCTGTTCTGATATAATTTTAAGTCAACAGATTTGGGGAGTGATAGTTATTTTGTTCACTCTGCATATGAGTGACCTAGCACTACATTTAATTTCAAAAATGGTTTTCAGAATGCCTTGCTGGCTTTCATCTTAAAAGACTTTTAAAGTGTTCATTCATTTTGTTTTTCTTTTAATAATGCTGAGAGCTAATTCTTCTGCATAAGCAAATAAACAGGACAAATAAAAAGTATCAGATACCTGAAACAATAAGGTTTATTCTGTAGGTGTTTAAGGTGTCTTTTATATTAGGCTGTAATTGACAGCTACAAATGCTGAGGTCATTTGAAAATGAGACCACCTGCAGAGGGGTTTTAGGAGCTCAGGGGCACCTCCCTCTACTGATCTCAAGGAAAAATTCTGGCCTTTGTAGATCCAGATTTAGTTCTCCTCTGAAGAGTGAAAAAGTCGAGCTGGAGTGAGGATGGGATGAAAGTGCTGGAAATAGCAGCCGTGTGCCAAGTGATACAGTTCCTCATTTGGGCTGCCGTGTGCCCGTCTGACTGTCCGAGCCCTTGCCTGGATCCGGCTGACTGTTGGCAGAGGTTGAATCCTTCCTGAGAACAAATCACTTTATTGTTCGTGTCTGCTCATGCACTGCCTTTTGGGAGCGTGGTTCATGTTGTTGCAAGAAGCAGAACCATTAGCACCAAATGAATTCTTTGTCAAGCAGCACAGTCTCCCTGAAATTTTTACTCCTTCCTCCAGCAGTTTCCCCCCAGGGTCAAATTTGCAGTATTGTAAGGGACTGGCTCCTGTTAAGCAGATGACCTTTTTTTGTTAATTCTGCAGATCGTGGCCTACCATGATTTTCCATGAAACTGCCTCCTTTCTATTTCTTCCTCATCCAAGTGAGCAGCTGGGCAATGAAATGTGGCAGCTCTGGGAATTGAACAGATCTGTTTCAATTAAGCCCCTTCTACCCTCAAGGCCTGTGGAAACTGGGCTGTTTGAAACAGCCAAAATTTCCACCCTGACTGTACCAAAATCTGCATGCCAGGGAGCTCCTGGTCATGAGCCACCAGCTCAGGGGATGATCCCTGGCAAAGCACAGCAGCGCTTCTCAAGGGTGCCATCATTCCATGCTACAGCACCCATCACTGTCCTGTTTCTGCCCAGATCCAGGGATTGGGTCTGTGCAGAGCAGCTGCATCAGTGTAACCACACTGCAGCCGGGGGCAGATCATGGATTGTGAGCCATCAAAACTGGTCCCATGACTCACAGTCAGCCTCAGTGCTTGTGTGACACAAGGCCCTGAGCAGCTTGGCTCACAATTAAGGCTTTTAGCCCCTAACACAGTAGA